TTAGTGACTTTGTCAAGCAATAAGAGGTAAAGCTGGCTTGGTAGCCGGGCTGGTAATAATTCCAGGCACCGGCCTAATGCCTCTCCAAATCCTCTAATGCCAAACAGCTGTGGCAAACATTTGAGTTTCCCCGTGTTACTCTGGGTGTGAGACTTCTGTTTGTCAAGGGGATACTTTCCATTCATCGCCTTGGCAGACGAGTGTGGAAGAGGAGGACAAAGTGGACTCAGGGAAGGAAAAGAGGATGTGTTACAAAGAGAGAGAGAGACGGAAAGAACGAGAGATAGAGGGGAAGAAAACAGCCGGTAATCCAACCAAATGCTTCCTCAACCTTCTTTCCTCAGCTCAGTCTGGCAAAGAGGCACATCTCTCCAGCCTCTTCCAAAAAGAGGGCTTTGTAATCACAGTTCTCTCTCTGTCCGACAGCTGGTTGCTCACAGTGGCAGCCAGTTAGGATGAAAGGGGAGAGGAAGACAGAAAGCGAGAGAGAAAAAAGAGATATCCAGGATTTCTCGGTGACGGAGAAGAGCATAATCTGAGGCCACGGCTTCAACGGAGACTTCCTGCTGCCCTGACAGGCCACAGCACTCGGAAACAACAGCCAGAGGAGCAGGAATCTAAACTGAAACTGCAATTAGAAAAGATTTCCATATGCAATGAGACAGGGGGATAAGCTTTGCTAATTTAATCACATCCTTTATGTTTAGGAGTAGCGCTTGATGCTCTCAAAGTTCTAAAATTAGTCAAATTAGACAGATGTGGAATATTTGAATCTGTTCCTAAATTCCTTCCACAATTTGTGGCCTAATTTTAGATCAGCATTCATAACTTGACAAAGCAGTCCTTCCTACTCTTAGACATCAGCATGCTATAGTCTTGTTGTTGGGCCTGAAGAATAAGTACTCAGCAACCCAACAGTTTAGAGCAGGGTCTATTTTTATCACCATTGTGTACAAAAACATAACCATCAAGCAGTGGAATTAACCCTTTACTGTTTCTACTTAAAAGCTATAAATGAAGGCACATGTATCTTATACCCACACCAACAATGTAGTTTGGATAAATCATTATCCAACATGAAAATTGTTTTTCTTGTTTGGTTTTAAAATGTTTTTTCCAAGGTTTTTAGAAGTTGGTCGTTGATTATACTGTATAAAATTGTTTGACTGTAGCTGTCCATACTCGGAAGTTTCTAATCAACTCAGTCTATTAAAGCTTAAATACGCCTAGCAAGAACTTTTAATTATTTTTTATCATTATGGGTGGTAAGAAAAATTGCTCGTGCTTTCTGCACTTCTAATCTCTTTTCTACCTCTGACCAACACTGAAAATCTGTTTATTCGCTGTCAAACAGCAATCTTTATTGTTGGACCTATACAGATTGGATGAAAAGGAAAGTTCTGATTATTTATTAAAAATGTTGAAGTTTCTAAGTTTTATATATGGGCAGAGTTTATTTCTCCCAGCCGCAATAATGATTATATACATTATATTCATAGATAACACAAATAATTTAAAATATAGAAAACCCATTAAACATTGAGTGTTGATGTGTGATCTATAATAACTTAACATCTGTAATAACATATGCCAACCTCCTATGGTTGACATTTTATCCAATAAATCTTTGCTGCTGAAATAGTCAGACTGACAGCATTAAAAAACAAGAAGCCTTCTTCTTGTGAAAGTCTATATTTGATTGATCAGCTCTTTCCGACTATATCAACTTTTAGTTTTACAATCTATGACATTATTCATATGCAGCAGTGGAATTAAAAAAACAAACTGATCCTACATTTTTTAACGCATCACGGTGCTGTTATCAATGGCATTGCTTTGTTTTGTAACCGTTAAATGAAACTACTGCTTCTTCTTGTTACTATTTAAAGCATCCAGGCCCCCTTTGATCAGGGAACTAGCATTATTTAGCTAGTCAGCTGCAAACAAAATCAGCCGGTTGTACTATCAGCTGGTGAAATCTTTGATCACAGGCAGAAAATATGCTTTTTTTCCCCAGCTTCTGTTTAAATTCACCAGTACTCAGCTATTGGGCCATCGGCCAGTGCAAAATGAATATCCAAGTTGCAGTGAACACTGTTTGTTTGAATGCTCATCCTTGGCATCACAAGGGCAAAAGTTCTCCTCACACAGTGTGTCTGTCTTTTCCCATGCGACCTATTTTTTTCTTTTTGCGATCATCTGAGCAGCTTAAGCTAATGTGCAGAACTTGTGATTGCTAAAGCAGAAAACAAGATTAAGTCTCTCTTTTTTCTCCAAAATACACTCACTGAGGGCATCTCATATGCCAGGCAAAACATCTATCCCACCCGTCAGGGTCAGAAAGCTATCAGGCTCAGACTACGGGGATTTCATTAAGTGGAAAGACACACACACTTAATACATCAGTCAGTGTTGAACTTAAGGTGCCTTACGAAATCTTAGTTTCCTTTTTTTAATTCAGCTTTTGCCACCATGGCAAAAGCACAATGCCACCATGGAGGTATTTTAAATATTCAGCGAATTATGTTTCCAGTGTTACTGACATGCAAGATTTTACAAAAATACACAAAAATAGGTAGAGCATGACAAAGCAACAAAATCTGTTGCATCCATGTACTGATTTGGATCATTCATTTATAGAAAAAATCAAAAGAGAGTCAGTGCTTTGGCTTTGAGATGCTCATTCATACTTGGTAATTGTTAAAGTGAGCATGCAGACTTCTTGTTTTTCTTTTTGTGTCTCACAGTATTGATATTCACTTTTTAAAAAGCAAAACTAGGCAGGTCTCACTCGTTTTGGGGTCATTCCTATCTCTTGCCTGCAAAAAATGACAGAATGTGTGCAATAAGCCTCCCTAAAGATGCTAAAGCAGATTGCTTTAAAAGGCTGGAGAGGTCACAATGTTGTTTTGCCTTCCTTCTGGATTTTTGTCAGGATTTTAAATGGACTGAGCATCAGCACTGCTGAGTGGCAGGTTAACATAAAACATTCATTGTCAAAAAAATAAATCCACGCTTATACAATATCCCAGGACACAACAAAACACACTCACACATGCAAGTACATAAAAAATGAAATAATACGAGCAAAGGGCTTAGAGGATAATCCAGGCGAGTGTACGACATCGCCACAGGAATTTAATACCCTCGTCTTCCAAAAATGGACAAAGCTGTAATGTTAGGTTACTGGATGGCCCACATGCACATGAACACAAATCTCCAATTCATTCCTCTTTTTTTACCTGAAAATTGAGTCTGTTCACAATTACTTTCTTATCTTTCACTTTCTTCAACACTTGTTTGGTCACTAGTTTATGTTGTTTTTTGTGGATACAGTCAAACTGGAAACAGATTGCACACTATCTGTACCACCAAAAAGAAATCCCTCACCTATGGATATATGATGATTCAATGTTTTGATTTTACTCATGATTTCACGTGGTGACACATGACGCTAGAACCCTTCACAGGTCAGTGGAGTCTAGGAGACCCCTGTGGGGATGTTCATGACAGAGAAAAGCAGCCATTCTGACGGATAACAAGATATGATATCCTTATGTGACTCCATAGCAGCACACACTCAGACTTAATGAAGTTTTTATGGCTCTGGTTAAAGGCTATTTGGTACATGTTTTTCACTCAGAGCTAAGATCACAACAGTTATGCCACAGTTGGCAAACAACCAAGCCAGAGGGCCATAGAGTGCCCTGTGCAGTCACAGCGTTTTCCAGTTAAGGATTTGTGAAGCATTAATGTGGTGTGGCTTTTGCCGACATCATATGGTTTTCGGTTTACATCAAGACTGAGCTCTCCTTTAGCCACAGGGTGCACGGGGAGCTAAAATAGAAGCAAAATCAAAGTTGTGGTTGTTGTTTAGAATAATCCGATGCAATCCATAAAGATTATAAAATGGCAAAAGAGAGCATCTTTCCAACCGGACTGTCATTTTGAGGCTGCAGTGACTGGACTATGACTGCACTGTACTGAACTCAACTGTTACTCTACTGTTACTGTATTTGAAAAAGTCTCCATCTATTTCCATTTCTACTATTGAGAAATTCCAGTAGTCACAACTAGTTTCATGAGGAATCTCCATCTGTTGGGTGGGCATGTGAACTTGCCAGATATCTTTAAGTGTTACTGTGTCCAAAAGAATATCATGTAAAAGGTCATTTTTCTGGTGTATGTGAACATGGTCAAAACACCCTGATTTTTCTTTTTTTTTCAGTTTCCAAATCCAAGATGAGTGAAATTCCCATTTAATATCCTATGAAGTTCCCTGAGTTCCCTGTGAGCTGTTATTATCTTTTCATCCGCTGATAAAATGCCAGAAATGACTCACCATTAGGTATCGATAGTATTAAAAACATTTCAAACAAGTGCTGGGTTGACTCTGTTATATGAACACTGTTTATGTTTCCACTGTAATTTCAGCATCATATTTCAAAGTCAGGCTGATATTTCACCTTGAAGAATTTGTCCTTTAGCATCTCAGAGCTCTGTACAACTCAGCACTTTTTCCCCCGGACTCCAAAAATCATTATCAGCCACTGCTGGGTATTTAAACAGCAGCCAAGTCGCTTCTTTGATTTTTCCACCTCCTCTCTGACATCCATATCTCCCATAGAGCTCCTGGATGTGGACATGACGAGACCAAAGATTTTGGGTAAATCGTTGTCCGATAAGTCTCCCTGTGCTGCTAGAGTTCCAATATGGCCCCACAAATCAGAGCATGACTCATTTGTGCTCAAGCCCTTCAAAAAAAAGAAGATTCCTAAAACTTACATTTGATTTCTTATCACTTTAGCCAACCAACATTCCTCTTTGAAAGTTCAAAGAATCAATGTTGCTACGAATTTTTGCAACAGACAAGGAGGAGTTTCAACTATATCAATCAAATAAATACTTCCCAAGACAGTTTTAAAGACAGAAAAACTTAATTTAAGGGTTTATGTTTAAAATGAGGTTCTGATTGTTGTAGCCATCTTTTCTTTCAATGATCAAGTGACTTGACGACATGAAAACACAACCAGTCCCACAAAAACAGTCATAAACCCCAACGCATGCCTACCATTCACGCCATTATAGATGCTCCGATGATGAGGTGAGAGGTCATCTCCGGCTGGCCTCCTCTGCCCGTCTCTCACTGGACTGCTGAACTTCACATGGTCAGGGCTCATACTGTACTGGTGCCTGTGAGTTTCGGGGCTGCTACCCTGGACCATGCAGACCTTTTCGTGGTGGTCGGCGGTCCCTAAATGTGCGTGCCGGGACTCGGGACTCCCGCAGCCCGTCCCGCTGATGCTGCTCCTCTGGTGCCTCTGGTAGAGCTCCCCGCTGCCCCCCTGGCTCAGGAAGTGCTGCCTCTGGCCCAGGAGGAGATCCGAGCTGTGGTGCTTGGGATGCTGCTCGGGACTGCGCCGGCCGATGTTTCTCCCGTACTTCTCGGGGCTCAGACCCCGTATCACCCGGCTGTGGTCGGGAACGGATATGGAGCCACAGCGGGGGCGGCAGAGCTGGGGCAGGGTGTACGGGTACTCCAGGCTTGTGCTTCGGTGGCGCCCGGCCGGGTGCTCGGGACTCGACACCTCCCTGTCTCCTCCACTTCCTCCCGCGATACCGCTGATGCTGCTACACCGCGGTTTGTGGACCAGTTCGGGGCTCCCTTTCTCCCCGCCACCGCCAACACCACCCACTACCGAAGCGAGGAGAGTCTGCTTGAGGTGGGGGTGATCGGAGCTGTCGGCGCTACCGGCACTCGAGGTGCTGCTTCCATCTCCCACGTCTCTCATGAGCAGACCTTGCCCCGGCACCAGTAGCAAACTGTTCTGGCTGTCTATGGAGTTACGGCAGCCTCCCATCCCTGTACTCCCCCCACCTCCGCCGCCCCCCACGCTCCCCCCTCCGCCCACCACCCCCTTCTCTTCGTCCAGCAGAAGGCAGAGCTCCTTCAGCTCCAGGTTCTCCCGGATCACCTCGTCTTGCCGAAGCTCGAGCTCCTTAAGCTTCTGAAGGTAGAGGGTCACCTCTTTGCGCATGATGCTGGCGCTGTAACGTCCAAGGCGCTGCCATTCCCTGGACACGCGTTTTCCTTTTTGGCGGTCGTCGTCTAAGAAGCAGCACAAGTCCCGCAGTTCGCGATTGTCCTCCTGCAGCTTCTGGTTGATGTCCTGAGAAGGACCGAGGAAAGACAGCAGAGAAAGAGCAGTGAGATAAACTGAGCATTAGGCTCCATGAAATCCCATCAAACAAAATAGTGCTCAAAATACACAGTCTTTTCCAAACAAAACACTTTTTTTTATTGAGATGATGATAAATAAATTGCTTTAGCCTCTCTCCAATCTGAGTCTGTTTCCCTGGTCTTTCTGATATCACTCAAATGTTGTGTGCAATCAAATAAAATGAAATCCTAATCCTCTCTGTATTTCCCATAAAACAATAGCATCACTGTATTCAATGGAAAAACACATAACATAGATTAGTATCTTCTGTCCGTGATGCAGAAGCCATGACAGGCATTAGGCAATGCTAGAGAACAGAGACTATATACCATGATTTTCTTTCACAAAACACAATTAAACACCCATTTTTCCCCTCTGAAAGACATTCTGCATTCTTTCTGTAACATTTTAACTAGCCTCCTGTTCCCTTTCCCTGAAAAACCCTCCAGCTCTTTCCTGTGTAATTAGGCCGCTTGAATGGGTGGAGGTGACAAGATCTCTGAGAGAGGCAAATGATCCCGATGTGCTGCTGTGGCCACCTCAGGCAGGGTCTCAACTTTAACTGTAAACACTGTTGAGAGTGTGCTATATTACCCTTATTAAAGATGGCAGTGGGAAAAGGTTAGTGAAATTTAGAGTACAGCTTCATAGTAAATGCCACATTTTTCTACCGGCTAACTCTATTTCAACATGGTGAGGAGGAATTTTGTGGGTGTGTGCAGACAGGGAGATATCTGGATGGCAGATTTGATTTCTAAATCTTCCCTTTTGGTGGATAAATTGCTTCACACAGCTCGTTCTGTATTCACGGATTGGTAAAGGCACGACTTGTCATTGATTTTGCTCACAAGTATTAATAGTCCCACTATTGTTATTTTCAAATGCCTCAATATCCCCTTACATACATGCAAGTTCAAATGTATTACTAATGCTAACCCTGGATGGAGGTTTACAAGTGTATGCATGCTTTAATTGTCAGGACAATCTAGTCAAGGCCTACACAATCCCACAATGAACTTCACTGATATCTCAAACTGTAGTTGCAGTAGGGCTTTCTAGCAGCACATCCCCTCTGCTTTGCGCGTTCAGGTGCGCCCCCAATCCTATGATCTCATCCTTCACCAATGCGCGCCCCCCTTACCTTCAGCCCCCTGATCTCGTTTAAGTGCAGCTGGAGGCTGCGATTGACCTCCCGGATGAGATTCCCGTGGTCCAGAATCACGCTCATCTTGTCGGCCTCAGACCGCCTCAGCCGGCGCACCAGGTCCTCCTTGGTCCATTTGAGCAGCTCCTCGTCGGTCAGACCGGATATGTCCTCTGCCGGACTTTCAGTTTTGGCTATCGACAGTTGGAGCTGGGGCTGGGGCGGCTGAGTAGCTTTCTCCATTGGCTCAGCTCCACCGGCACCAACAAAGGGTAGAAAATACTTTGAGGTTCGTTAACAACCCCTGCTGCTCGCATCCGCTCCCCGGTGGACTTAGGGCTGGAAAAAACGGTTACCGATTGCAACTCAGGGGCATAGTTCGGCCTTTCTGTTGCTCTCCACTCTTTCACTCTCCTCAAGAGCAACAGCTGACGATGCCGGCTGGGTGCGATACGGCGGAAAAGAAGCCGTGTCCCTTATCACTGCATCATCCTTGCAGCTGAGATGGACTCCATGCAGCCGCCGTGCAGCGTGAGTTGCGTCCTTCACCCAGTCCCCAAATTCAATCTGGATTGGTGGTTATAAAAACGAGAAAAAGCTTTAGAGGAGACACGCCTTTCGCGTGCAGGATGCAAAAGATGATAGAGCAGCGCTGCGTGAGGCAGAATCAAAACCGAGAGGAAACGGCTCCTCTCTGCCTTTCTCTAGCTCACTCCCTAAAGGGGTTTGCCTCCACCAAAAAATACAGCTCGGTTGCAGCGCCACCTAAAGCTCAGTTTCACTCCAGTTTGCCAAAACACTGTTTAGTTCCTAAGGTGATAGCATGCAAACTCATGATTTAACTACCTAAAAATAAGAAAACATTTGCTCTCTATGTTAAAAGATGCTTTGGACGTGGACAAAAACAAGGGCTTCTGTTTTTTTTAACAATCCAGATGACATTCAGCTGCATGATAAAGTATCCTATAGACACTCTAGAGGTGTACTGTGGTGTTGCATTTGGAGGTGTATTGATTGTCTTGAGATGATCAGATTTCGTTAATTGTCTCAAACCAACAGCAGATGTGCTTTTAACACGCACAGCGGTCAAACGTCCAGCAGGTACGGTACGACTCAGGAAGAACGGTGTGATTCCAGCACCATGGACAGCTACTCATTGGGGCTCTACAGACTATAAACCGCCCTCTCTTTAACCCACTCTGTTTCACAAACAGAAATGTACACATCTGTATCTCAACTAAGCCTGCACGTTTTTTCATTGAACCGGTATCCTACTGAAAATATCGGAATTTCCTGGAGTTGCAAGGACATTAAAGGCCGCTAAGTGGAATTTGAATAGGTCGTACTGTTTTATCAAAAGTACTTTTTCTTCATCTTCTTTGTTTTTTTTGTTGTCTCAAAACAATTGCCGGATCCTAAAAGATTTAAAGCAGTGTAGCTGATATTAACTGTAGGGAAGTGTGGTCTATGTAAACACTTTAGCCAATAATTTGAAAGGCATGATAGCAAAGTTTCAAATAAAGATAATAATGAAAGAAAAAATAGAAAGAAATTAAATTAAATTCATTAGTCTATTGCTTTTTCATATAGTGCAAGTTGCTTTTGTAAGAGTATGACAAATTCATCTTATCACTATACGCATACAATACTAACCAACACGATTTCCCAGAAGTCCCCTCTGCCTCAACAAATACACGTCATAGAAATAAGAGCCAATAGGAAACGTCCTAGCGCAGAGTAACACGTCATTCTAGTAAAGTGCAGAAGCCGGCTGACAGGGAGCGATCCCCTCACCGAGGTCTTTCTGTCCTGTACGTGCATCTGTTTGAACTTCCAAATGCTGTAGTTTACCTTCAGCACTACAGTCTGTTTAGTTTCTGCCAACATCTGAAGTCAACTTGATATAAGAGGTAAGAGTTCGGCTCAATTATCATCGAAAGTTGGTCGCCCGTTTTTCAGCTTCCATTTAAGAGGGGACAGGAAGTGGGTCAATGCTACATTCCGTTAGCTAACACAGCCAGCTGTATGAACTAGCGGCGTTAGCTTAAAGGTACTACTCATCAACGATTAACGAAAGTAGCGATTATTTATTCAATCATTTTATATTGGAGAACCATTTTAAAATGGCATTTTGCTTTTCTTTAAGAGTACTACTTGTAAGTGAGAAAATCTGAGGCATGCTACAACAAATTATGGTTCGGGTACACGATGTGATGATACGTGGCTTGAAAAATGTACTATTGACATGTCCGGGTGCATAATCCTGCTCTATACTATCTCAAAACGGGGACTCTGTATTTATACACACTATTTTTCCTATCATCCGACTGTTTCGTAATTATTATGTAACTAAAATATTCCAGATTATAGATAAACATTCCCATCTATATACGTTTTTTCAAACGGACATGGTAAATAATCCTTGGTTTTGGCTCTGAGAATGTGCAAACTCTGTTTTATGTTCTATGACACATGGATTTTCTTTGGACTGTGAACTTTAGATCCGATGAACAAGTGCCACTGAGATGCCATCCAAGTCTAATTTACACAACCTAGCTATCCAAACACTACCATTAGTTGAGCAGTATTATAAAACATTTATGGCAATTATCTTCATCAGCGTGCTTCGATGCTACAACTTTACAGTCCTACTGGTGTTTTAATATTTTATTCTAAAGGGGTCTTGTAGCCTGCTCACTCTATGCATCATGCATAAAATCCAGAATAAGTTATTTACATCCACCGGAAACAGCGAGGAGGAGAAAGTGTGCAGGTCCCTCAGAAGGGTGTGTGTTAATGCTTTGAGAAGATGCCACTCATATTTATTTTACACCCACCAACGTAAGCAGGCGTACATAAATACTGCCAGTCAGAAGTTTAGACACACCCAAACCTTCATTCAGAGATTCTTCCGTGCTCTTACCGTCGTCATCAAAACATGCAGATCAGGTTTTCTGATGGCATATTTGTGCGTCATGCTTTCGAAGATCTGTGTCTTATTTTAGCTCGGAACAAAAGGGATTGGCTTTTATAAAGAGAGGATGTTCGGTGTAGTGAGTAGAAAAGAGCAGGCAGACTGAGGAGAGAGTAGTAGTGAGCTTGAAGCTGCCAGCTCTTTAATCGGGATTGTATCTGCCTTTTTTTCTGGTGGAGTGAGAATCTCCCTGTTCTTAATATTTATTTTATTTAATTTTTTCTAATTGTTTTTGGGTGAAGCTCAGCAATGTCGACCTACCAGGAGTTCATCCAACAGAACGAAGATCGGGATGGAGTGAGATTCAGTTGGAATCTCTGGCCTTCGAGTCGCCTGGAGGCCACAAGGCTGGTAGTCCCCGTCTCCTGCCTCTTCACACCTCTCAAAGAAAGGCCCAACCTGCCTCCAGTCCAATATGAGCCAGTACTGTGCAGCCGGGCCAACTGCAAGGCAGTGCTCAACCCCCTGTGGTAAGTTCACTGAAGATCAGTGCTGCCGGTTCTTCTTCTAAATCTATCCAATCTATCGATGATTATTTGATTATTCATTTATTTTTATTGGTTTGTTTAATTGGTTGTATTAGCCTTCTGTTTTGGGTAATCATTAATGTCCAGGTCCACAGGATATATTGACATATTTGTTGTTCTGTCTGGAGATGGGGATACAGGGAATTGAATATCTATTAATAGCTTATTATCTCTTTGGTACATTAGGACTGCAAATACACCTTATGTAACCAAGGGTCAGTCTCATTTCTACTCCTGAAATTTACGTCTTATTTGTTTTGTTTTTTATCCTTCTTTTATAGTCAGGTTGACTTCAGAGCCAAAATATGGGCTTGCAACTTCTGCTTCCAGAGAAACCCCGTAAGTAATGATGTCCATGCCATGTTTTAGGTCTAACGTTTTCATACCATTCGCTGTTCAAACTTGTTGAAGCCATCGTAGCGTAATGTGGACCGGCTGGTTGATCTTGATCTCTCTTCCTCTGTGTTGTTGTGCAGTTCCCTCCATCTTATGCCGGCATATCGGAAGTGAACCAGCCAGCTGAACTCATGCCCCAGTTTTCTACTATTGAATACATAGTTCAGGTAATACAGTCTGAAAAGGAAAGCAAAGACTTAAGTTCACTCTTTAACTCTGAGAAATAGTGCAGGATTGATCTCTATTCACTGAGATAAGCACTGTCATAAAGGACAACTGATTTGATGTATTAAAGACAGAACTGTGACAACTCATTCTATCATTATAAAAAATGGAACAAAGTGTTCAATATTATTACCATCATCGTTATTATTATCATCTTATTTGTAGTAGTAGTAATAGTAATGATAATAAGTTCTTTCCAACCTGAGGATCTTTCAGCTATTGTGATCAACAAGTGAAACTTCATGAATAATGTATCGGGTGTGTAAAGTTACACACAAGGGGGGGGGTTAAATACATACAAACCTGCACTTAGGTTATAAGAAACCAAATGATTATCCACTTTCTTTTGTCTTTTTTGTAAAAATGAAAGTGTAATTTCCTTGTTGTTTTTCCTTGCCTCTTCACAGCGTGGGGCCCCCGCCCCCCTCATCTTTCTCTATGTCGTGGACACGTGTTTGGAAGAGGAGGACCTGCAGGCCCTGAAGGAGTCCCTTCAGATGTCCCTGAGTCTGTTACCACCCAACGCCCTGGTGGGCCTCATCACATTCGGACGCATGGTCCAGGTTCATGAGCTCAGCTGTGAGGGGATCGCAAAGAGCTACGTGTTCAGGGGCACCAAGGACCTGTCTGCCAAACAGATCCAGGTAAGTCCAGATGAGGGCATCTGGTATCGGAGGACTTGGTTTCAACTCAAAATGAAAGATTTCTGTGAAAACGTTTCAAAATGAATCGTAGTGTTTACAGTAATATTCATGAACTTTAATTGAAATATGAATTCTGTTTTGTTGCGTTTAAAACAACTTGAAATTAATCCATCAAAATAATCCAGCGGTGATATGAACTAATAACGTCTGTTTTGTTTGTCGCAGGAGATGCTCGGTCTGTCGAAGCCCCCCGCAGCAGGACAGCAGGGCCGCCCTCAGGCCCCTCAGGATGCCACTGCCTCCTGCAGGTATGCCAGAGTCAGGCTGCTTTCAAAAGGGGCCCAAAACATTAGATTTAAAAAAAAAAAAAAAAAAAAAAAAGAAAAGAAAGGAAAAATTCTAAGGTGTTTGTGTGTGTATGTACAGGTTCCTCCAGCCCGTGCACAGAGTGGACATGAATCTGACCGACCTGCTCGGGGAGCTCCAGAGAGACCCCTGGCCCGTCCCCCAGGGCAAGCGCCCGCTCCGCTCCACCGGCGTGGCTCTGTCGGTCGCCGTCGGCCTTCTGGAGGTACGGGAAACAGCCACGCCGTGCCCAAAAGCGCGATAGAACTGATACCGGACCATCACAATGCATTTACATCATCAGGTTCACGCACAGCTGTTAAAGTGCCTCGTAGTAACTCGAACTTTGGCCTGTCCGTAACAGAAGTGCCACATGTTACTGTACAGAGAGTCCCACGCTGGCTGATAATCAGCACGGTTTTGGTTCAAAGGCTGCTTCCCTTTGGCCTTTTGTCTTTTTCCTGCGCCAGTGTTATCCTCTTCTTCTGATGATCTGTGGTTATGTAACCGTCAGAGCAGGAGATCGTTTGCCTGCGGTTCTTTTTCCTTATTTAATGGGAGACGTGCCCTGGTTTTTGTTCTTTCTGTGACTCCCGATTGGACTTGATGAATGAGCCTTACACGGAAATCTCTCAGTATGCAGTATAAGGGCTGGGTTATTCTGTAGGTGAGGACAGTGTGTCCCTCTCTAAGCAATCTTTACTTGAACATGATTTCAAAAGGTACTATAGAATGAATTTACGTCCAGATGGCTCATTGCCAAATGTTCCATGGTGTTGTGGACTTTCCCAGACTTCTGAACTTTGACTGTTGTTTGCTCCGGATTCGCTGAACGCTTATCGAGGCTTGGTAGTTTATCTCTAGTATCTCTAGGATGGAAATTGGTTAAGGTGGAGTAAAAAGAGAAACTTTGAGATAATTTTTTTTGTTTGAATTGTTTTACATGATAATGTAACACAATCATAGCTTTAGTGTCTTTTCGAACCATTTGAAAAGACAAAATGTTCTATGATTTTCTTTTCTTTAAAGCACTGCCACTAGTTTATTAACACTTTATCAGTGTCTGAGGGACCAAACTAGTATTGTATAATAATTTTATAAATGTAAATGTGGTTTTAATGGAATAAACAGTTTTTTTCCCCAGTTTTTTTGTAACCATTGTCACAATAGTTAAAAAAAAGCCCACTGAAATCCAGCCTCTCCCTCTCTTAGGGCACATTCCCCAACACAGGAGCTCGTGTGATGCTTTTCATTGGTGGGCCACCCACCCAGGGCCCCGGCATGGTGGTGGGTGACGAGTTGAAAACCCCCATTCGTTCCTGGCACGACATTCAGAAGGACAACGCACGCCACTTAAAGAAAGCCACCAAGGTGATTAATGCATGTAACCACTGCAAAAAAACAGACAAGAATGTACAAATCCCCACGTTTAAGGTTCCTGAGTATTTTCAGTAAGTTTTTCATGTCCTTTATAATGTTTTTCCTCTTTTCCATAGTACTATGAGGCCATGGCCAACCGGTCAGCAGTAAACGGCCACTGTATTGACATTTACGCCTGTGCGCTGGACCAGACGGGGCTGCTGGAGATGAAGTGCTTGTCTAATCTCACAGGGTATGCCGGCACTCGCAGTTGGATTGCTTGAAATTGTTCGATTTGGATTTGTTTGCCTTTTCTTTATGCATAACTTTCTGATTGCTTCGCTGTGTTTCAGGGGGCACATCGTTATGGGAGACTCTTTCAACACCTCGCTTTTCAAGCAAACCTTCCAGAGAGTCTTTAGCAAGGACTTCAATGGAGACTTCCGCATGGCCTTTGGGGGTGTCCTCGAAGTCAAGGTAAGGAGGTCCCCAAGTCTGTCCTGCATTCCTTGCTATATTGAATCCAAAGCTGCATCGGTTTGATATCCCAACTTTTTAAGATTCACTGATGACATTTTCTCTCTGCAGACCACAAGGGAGCTGAAGGTTTGCGGGACCATCGGGCCGTGCGTTTCACTCAACGCAAAGGGTACCTGTGTTTCTGAGAACGTGAGTCCCAGATGAAACTCCCCGGCTCGGACTTCTTTTCCTCCACGCCAGGCAGTCTCATTTCCTGATTATCTTTGTTTTTGTTTTGGTGTAGGAGATGGGAATCGGTGGCACATCCCAATGGAAAGTGTGCAGCCTCAACCCCTCCACGACTTTGGGCGTTTACTTTGAGGTGGTGAATCAGGTGAGGCTCTTTTATTTTACCTTCAGCCTTTAAAGGTGGATGGGACTGCAGATGAGCACAGATGTTAACCGCATCAAATCCAGCGGATCACCCTGCCAATATTTGCCCATTGGAAGTAGTCGTACGACGGCTTTACTGCATGTTCACATCTCATTGCACCGGCCAAGACATGACTGTTTTTACGTGTGTGTGTGTGTGTGCAGCACAACGCGCCCGTCCCCCAGGGCGGCCGAGGGGCGGTCCAGTTTGTGACCCAGTACCAGCACTCCAACACACAGAGGAGGATACGGGTCACCACCATCGCCAGAAAGTAAGAATCTGATCACATTGGGATTTATGTGAAAGGGCCTAAAACTACGCTCTACTGAATGTCAATCTGAAAAATAAGTTTCTGTAGCAAAAAAGATTAAAAGAAAAACTTAATGGTTTACATCAGGAAGTCTATAAAGTCTCATATCCACCTGAAACGCGAGCAGCCAGAATCAATATTTGGCCCAGTATAGTGGAAGTTTGCACACCTACAGCTCCGGGTGACACCCTCTGGGATCTGTAAATGGCGCCTGTGCGTCATTCCCGCCACACCCACACTCACCTGCACCCCTGCTATTTTTTCAATGCCCTACTTTCTTCCCCTCCCTCCTTCCTTTCATCATTATGTTTTTTTTTTTTTTAACCTTTCTTTCTTTGTGTGCTCAGCTGGGCAGACGCCCAGTCTCAGATCCAGCACATCGAGTCGTCGTTCGACCAGGAAGCCGCCGCCGTGCTCATGGCCCGGCTGGGGGTCTTCAGGGCGGAGTCGGAGGAGGGCCCGGACGTCCTGCGCTGGCTGGACAGGCAGCTCATCCGCCTGGTGAGTGACGAGCCGCTCCAAAAACAACACCGCATAGCTGGCGTTGTCAATTTCTGCGTCATTTTCTGTGATGTCATATATGGGAGTTCCATGCGGCCTTAGGCTGACTCTGTGGTATGTGGAGAATTTAAACAATTCTTTGCCTCCCAATGCTTTCAGTGTCAGAAGTTTGGCCAGTTCAACAAGGACGATCCCACCTCCTTCAAACTGTCGGAGTCCCTGTCCCTTTACCCACAGGTAAAGCCTCCATCTGCTCTCATCGCTTAAGGGGGCGCTCAGCTTCTGATTGACAAGTGTATACTTTTAAATATTATCCCATTATATAGCTCATTTAAGCGTGCTTGACTTTTTCTATTTATTTTTTTTTATCGCTCCACTTGCAGTTTATGTTCCACCTGCGGAGGTCGCCGTTCCTTCAGGTGTTCAACAACAGCCCCGATGAGTCGTCCTACTACAGGCACCACTTTGTCCGGCAGGACTTGACCCAGTCCCTGATCATGATCCAGCCCATCCTCTACTCATACTCCTTCCACGGACCACCAGAGGTCAGCCTCATTCCCTTCACGCCACCGACTCCCACTGCTAGCAAATCAGCCACTCCAAGCATCTCTGAGTGTTTTCGTTGATGTAAATTAATGATTTTTTCCCCCTCAGCCTGTGCTTCTGGACAGCAGCAGCATCCTGCCTGACCGGATCCTGCTGATGGACACTTTCTTCCAGCTGGTCATCTACCATGGAGAGGTGAGACCGTAGGCCGGGAGGAAGGAATGTTAGAAAAACTAGATTGGTTGTTTTTGTTTTACTGAAGGTAAAATATTCCATGTAGACATTGGGGAATTTTGTGTCTTTATTTCCAGACCATTGCCCAGTGGCGAAAGGCGGGCTACCAGGAAATGGCCGAGTATGAGAACTTCAAGCAGCTGCTGCAGGCCCCTCTGGACGACGCTCAGGAGATCCTGCAGACCCGCTTCCCCATGCCGCGCTACATCGACACCGAGCACGGAGGCTCTCAGGCCCGCTTCCTCCTCTCCAAAGTCAATCCCTCACAGACCCACAACAACCTCTATGCATGGGGACAGGTACGATATCAGAACCCACAGGCTTTTCTCCTCTAATTCAAAGTTTGCGCAGAGCAGTTGAAATGCCAAATTTATCTCGTATTTATCGTTGGAGTATAGCTGAGAAACACATAAAGGTGTTAAAGACCATGATCATTTCTGTCGCTTTTCCTCCGCTTTCCGTCAGATTTACTGGATTATCTGGGCAGACAAACCATAAATAGAATTTCGCTGTGAAACTTTTCGCAAATTCTCATTTCCTCCTTTTGATCAAAGCAAAGGCCAAAATCCCGGGATTGTCTGCCACAGATGGGAAAACAATCAGGACCGGCAACTCCGAGCGAGACTGTCTGTCATCAAAGGGTCTTGGAAGAGTTAGCCCCTCATAAGTGAGGGAGATTAAAATCTGAAAACGGCATGTCAGCCTGAAAACGGGATTATCGGCAGAATGATGTCAGACGGATGCTGTTACTACGTTACAAAGTTATGTCACCAAATATGTTTGTAGAGTGAGTAAACAGTTTTTTGGCTGCCCCCTGTGTGACCGCAGGAGACAGGAGCCCCGATCCTGACCGATGACGTCAGCCTGCAGGTCTTCATGGACCACTTGAAGAAACTGGCTGTTTCCAGCTCTGCGTAGACAACATGAAGAGAGCAGCATTCCTGTCCAGTTATTGGGATCCAACAACATTTCCCTTGTTTTTGTCAAGGAGTGAAATCCACTGTATGTGTTTTGTTTAGTTTTTTTTTTCCTTTTTCTTCTTTCTTCTGTCTCGACTTGTGGAATTTCCATAATTCAAAAGCTGTGGGAAATAAGAAATTTCTTGGAAATAAATTGACACATCTGGTCCCTTTTTGTAGAAAAAAAATTGTAATATATCAGAAAAGACTCACGATGATATGTTAACAGTATTGACTCCCTATATTTGTTTCATGTCAAATATCAGCTCTGACACACGAGTGCTAAAACTAATAACTTAACTTTTTTTTTGTCCAAAAATGTGTCTACTGCTACAGGCTTGGTTGAAGATGTTGTGTAATAGATCGCCTAACGATATATATATATATGCATATAAATATATCCTAGCTTTGTCATAACTAGAATTTTTCACTTGAATGGATCATAGTAATATGTAATGCTTGTATAAAGGAAAGGAAGTACTCACTTGGTGAAAAGGACCTGATGTTTCTGATGGGAACAGGAAAGGTCCTCCAGGGATTACGTCTCCACTTTTTCCAAGAAAAATTCACTCAGTAGAAAACGAGGCTCAACGTTCCGAGGAATGGAAGTCAATCACATCAGCTCAAGTGAGACAGACTTTGTTTCCAATGACGAACACGTAGGCTTATTTTTAATTTTCTAAGACACTATGGTTCTCATCAGGACTTTTTGACCATCTGGTGTATTATCCACAACCACTGCCCAAGTGTCTGTAATCAAACTTTCTAACATGGTGTGAAACCGTCAAGAAGGGACAACTGTGTGATTCTTTTTTTTTTAAACCTCGTTTTGGTCCTCGGTGCTGTCCACATAAAACCAGCCCTGCCAGCATGAAAGCCACCTTTTTTTCCCCCCCCCTGATTGTTCCAAACATGTTGCATGTGATTAAATCCGTTTTCAAGCCACGCGGAAAGCGGTGCGGCCGCTTCAGCTCACAGTGTCATTAGTTTATGATCAAAAATTTGCACCAGCAATCCCCCCCCCCCCAAAAAAACCCCAAAAACTCAGTTGGCTTTTTTTTGTTTGTTTTTTGTTTTTTCTTATCGCTACAGATGTGAAACCCGTGCGGCACGCAGTCCTAAAACCACTCGCTCACGATCCACTGTCACAGTAAGCTGATTTCAGAGCAGACAGTATGATTTCGAGGATCAGTGAATGGCAGATTATGAGGACTAATCCTTGGGGGCTATGTGTTAAGAGGCAAATTCTTATTTTATCAGCTTTAAACAGAAGTTGTCACTGAACTACAGATGAGGTCTGCCTACCCAGAGCTTAGGTCTTTGCTCGGAGGCCACATATGCTCCAAAGGTATCCGTGGGGTAAATAAATAAAAATGCTCCACTCCGGCTGTTAATCCATTTTGACATGGATACTCGTGCACAACATTCAAATCTAAGCATCATGCCGGCATTTTGCAGTGGACGGCCGAGCTGAGGGACAGGGTTTGCCACCTAAAGGAAAAAGAGATGCCTTTGCGTGTCCAGAGAATCAGACGGACACAAAAAAAAAAACATCTAAATTTAGTACTTTTGTCCTTTAAACTTCAGTCTTGGGCTTAGGCAAAGCTGGCAGGAAATAGGACGTCTTATTATCTGAAAAGAAAAAATCCTCGGGATCAGCTGAAGCCCAATGGTCAGAAATCCATTCCGGCCTCTGCACTTGATAACTTATGTAAGATTTCTGTAAAAATATGGGTCACGTATTCAGATGTAGGAGAAAAGAAATAGCGCTGATCTTATTTGCGAACTGCATTTTTTACAAAAAGATTCAAACATGGAAACGAAACAAAGTGAAACACTTACACCCGTTGGGAACGCTTAGAAACAGAATTGAGCAGAAATGGAAAAGAGGCTGAGTGCAGATGCTGAGGTTGTTTTGTAAGATGAGAGTGAGTGTCCAGGGCAGGATTCGTCCTCTCATCCTGACACCACAGCTCACACTTGTGAAATGAGATAAAGGTGAGAAAAGATGTGTTTGCAGACTTTGAGCAAAGGGAATGCATCTCCAGCTGTTAGACACATGGCTGTATCCCTCCTGTTTTTGTGTTTCTGCCACAGGCAATGCCTGAGGGAGATCCCCCCCCCCCCCCCCCCCAGAGGGGAGGATGGATTCACTGAAATGTCTGGAAACAAATAGAAAGGAAAAAAAGGGATAGAATCAACAACAAAGCAATGATCCCTACACACCTAAAAATGGACAACAGTGGTCTGAAGAAGATCTAAAGTTTGTGGAACTCTTAGGGGGGGCTTGTAGAGCAGCTTCTTCCCAATATGAGGCTTTTTAGAAATATCCCTTCTCAGGATTGTTTACTACCAGGGAGGTAATCTTGCATCAAACTGTTTGCTTTTAACTCAAAACTTTGTAGAAATCAATCGTTTTCTTAAAAAGGTAACAAAAATCCTGGCAAACTTTGGCTCACACTGCTGTTTTGGATCAGTTATCAAATGCGTCTACGTTTGTGTGTGTGTGTGTCTGAGTGTGTGTGAACCCCTGTGTGAACGTTATTTACCCCTCACCCAGGCAAACAACTTGAAATGTGTCAACTCGAGAGCAGGGATTAAATTCTTATGTTTGCAACCTGTGACTGTGTGCGCTGACGTCATAAGCGGTATTTATCAGACACCAGCCGACCCTGATGGTCCAGCAGAATCCCGCCAGCCAATACTGAGCCATTCTGAAACAATTCAGAACCAGCTCCTCTCAAAGCCAGAGAACGTGAAGCCCTCCGTTTTTGGAGACCAACCCGTAATCAACTGAGCTAATAAACCCCCACGTGTACTTTTTTTTGTGCTTTTAAACTTGGTGCTGGGTGTCAAATCGCGTGCTGATTCAACATCTTTCACCTTTCCTTTAAAATTACCCGCACAAGTACCCGGTTTTCAGGATTCGGGGCACTATGGTGGGGAGATTGAGCCCAATTTGGTTCTTCAAATGTAAGTGGAAGTGTGGCGTAGAGGACTTGCGTTTGCACCTCCAGAGGAAAGTGCCGGGGGAGAGGGCGAGTGCCTCTCTCTGTAACGCCGTTTCAGCGGGCCTCTAAGAAGCAGCCGGTTCTTCAGGCAATCGCCCTGCTCACGAGGGGGTCAAAGGTCAGCATCTCAACAGAAACCCAACACGCTCCCCTAAAGGAGAGCCAACAGTTGCCAAAAACAGTCCGCTCCGAGAGAGTTAAAGGGACTTACTGGATTTCAGAAGAATGAATTCCTGGTAATTTGTATGAAATGGGGCTTAGATTTTAATGAAAGATATCTGAGAATCACCAAAATTGTTAAACTGGAATGTCATCATATTTTGTTATTGATTTCCAACTTTTGTTACATCATTAAGATTCAAGGCCTTCAATTAAAAGACCTCATATTGACGAGAGCATGCATAATAACTCCTAATTAAGATGCATACAATTCAGATTTGATTAGATTAACTACACAGATTTTAAACAGATTACAAATTGGATGAACTCTTTTCTCTTTAGTTCAGTTCAATGTCCGGCAGGTTTTAAACGTTTCCCTGCTTCCATACACCTGATTCAGGTGAAGTTGATCTCTTCTAAAGATTGTTAAGTTCTGCACACACTGGTGATGTTGTGTTGATGTACACACAGATGCCATAATGCAGTACAAAACAAGAGCGAGCATACAGAGAGCAACGACTGGATGAGGGAATTCAGGTGAGCAGGATTGTCAGGAAACAGCAAGAAAAAGCCAAATTGAGAGACTGACCTAGAATAAAGATTAAAACAATCCAAAGCCAACTAACACACAAAGTGATTACAAACCAATTTTGAGTGATAAATTCATCAAGTCATTATGGTACCTCTTATTTGTAATCGGGTTTTATTTGCTCTGTTTCTGCCTGTTAATGTCTTACGTTCCTCTCCCATGTCCCAGACGGCCTCTGATCTTTAATTAAAAAAGGTGGGTAGTCAACAAAGCAGGTCTTTTATGCCACATATTCCAAACGGAGTTGTTTGTTCTCTTTGTGTCTCACATTTAGTCCTCTCTCCCTATCAGGAGTCAGCAAACAAATCATTAAAAAGATGATGGCTTATAAGGCCCGAGTCTAATAACCCTGTAGAAGAACTCCAGACCTCACTTTGCTCAGGCCTAACAACAACACTGGTTACGGATAACTACATTTAATAAACCAAGATTACCAAAAATTCAAAAGTTCAATAAAAAAAATAAAAAAAATTTGAACTATTACAATGTGGCCAAAAGACTGTTAAAACTTCAACACTGGAAACACAGAACCATATTTTAGTTTAATTTTGTAAGGCAGGATTTTCCAAGTGTCAAAATCCCCAGTTTGATGGAAAAGGCCCGGACTAAACGTCTTAAATGGCACTTTAATGTAACAAAAGTTTGCTTTTCCTGACCAGAACTGGACTGACACCCTGTCAACACTCGCTCCTAATCGCCTCTCTTTTGGCCTCAGAGGAGGGCGGGGAGGCGTCATAATGACAGAGATTGGGAGGGGGGGGGGGACATCATACGAAAATCCTGCGCTTAACGGAAACGAGCATCAAATCCTCTGACAACGTGATGTCCCGCAGGCTTTAAGCTCGTGGGCCACCGCGCGCGTTGTGGAGAGGGGAAGTGTGCCATTTCGGCGCCAGGCTGAGCTCGGGTGTGGGACATGCTGGCCGTTAGTGGGAGATGGTGGGGGGGGTTGAAAACCGAGCTGGGAGCCCAGTGAGAACGCCTTCTCACCTGGGGGGTCGCTGGTAATCTGTTACTGGTCACTGGTGCGCGTCTCTCGCGCTTTGCGCACATGAGCGTTTGCGCGCATCCTCCAAACGGACCATGAGGAGGACGCGCAAATCCAGGACCCTTCTGTCCGTGGGCTTGAACTTCCTGGCCCTGTTTTTCGCCATCACCGCGTTCATCACGACCTACTGGTGCGTGGGGACCCAGAGGGTGCCCAAACCCAAGTGCAGCAAGCTGCGGACCCACAACTGCATCGACTACGGGGTCAACGAGACGGACCCCAACAAAGTGGTCTACAGCTGGGAGACCGGGGACGACCGGTTCCTGTTCCGCCAGTTCCACACCGGCATCTGGTCCTCCTGCGAGGAAAACATCCACGATGAAAGTAAGAGAAGGTGTGTGTCTGAGTGTGTGTGTGTGTGTGTCTGTGGAACATGCTCACAATCCATTGTTATCAGAATCAGAATCAGAATCAGAAATACTTTAGTAATCCCAGAGGGAAATTATTTTTGTTACAGGCTCCATAAGTACATAGTTGTTTTAAATACAAAAAATAAAAAACTATTTTAAAAACTATTTTAAAAACGTCCTTATTTTTGTTGTGAGTCTTCCTATATGGTGTGTGTGTGTCAATTTGCAAAACTGATGTAACAAGTCCCTTCTTTAAGCTCATAAAGTTGCAGTTTGCTGGAATATGTTGACTTTTATTTTTTTGACACCATCAAGCGGATGTCCAAGCCTCTGTAATCGGTCACTTAAAACTTAGAATATCAACTCCATCAAACAAAGCCCAAACCCAGATATAAAATCCACCATTAATTTACATTTTTAAAACACTTAACTTAAGTTTTTTTTAAATAGTCAACAAAGACATTTTAAAGACGGTGATTTATATTTACCCCCGGTTCATTTGATCCTCCTTAACCAAACCAGCACCACTTTAAAACCTAATCACACACGCATACTGTCATATATGTATTGCAAGAAGGGGAAGACTTAAAAAGCAGGACTTAGCAGTGTGTGATTATAGCTTTAGATGCACGCAAACAGTGAAACAGTTTGACCTGCTGACTCAATTTGATTATGTTTGAGTTTTGCGAGTTAATAATACCAGATGAAATCTTATTGTCACACTAAGACTACAGTTAGGTCATTTTAGGTGAAGTTAACAGAAGTTTGAGGCTGCGGCGTCCATTTTCAGCCTGTGACCACGCCCTCGATGATACTTAGACCTCCCAGGAACGGGAAACAAATCCCCGATTCTGATTTTCAAGAGGGAATTGTGAGTCCATCTCCATCTCATCAAGTGGCTGTGCCATGGAGGGTGGGCAGAACAGCTTGAGTTAATAAGGATTATGTAACTGGGGCCTTGATGAGTTTTTCCTCAAAGCAGCTGTTGCCACCGTCCCCTCCACCTGATTAAAGAGTTCCAGTCATAACAAATCCAGCGATGGTCAGTGCTCGACATCTGAATTGCCAGCTCACCATCCGGTCAATCTGACTGAGCGGTCAGGCGCATGGCTCATATTCATTATTCTTCATTTTCTTTTTTTCATTTCAAACTTTTGAACTTTTCATTATTTGTTACTGTGAGAATGACCCATATCATTGTTGAAAACTGAACTTTTGTATTACGATATTATTTATTATCATCATTTTAATCCATCCATGACATGTTTGATGATATATTGTTGTATTTTTCTGCTTTGTTGCCAGGTGAGAGATGCCGAAGTTTCATAGATTTGGCCCCAGCATCAGAGAAAGGTGAGTAACCTCCAGTCATCATCAGAAGTTCCGAACATGATCAAAAGTTTTGCAAAATGCTCAGACAGAGTGGAAACATACTTAATGTTTCAGGTAGGCAAACTCCTCTGTTCCTAATGCATGTCTAGAATGCTTATTACCAGATAAACTTAAAGGGGGGGATGATTACTCGGACCAGAAAGTCTCTGATGGACAGCGAATATAAGGTCAATAAAAGAAGTTTGCATTTTGTTGATTGTAAGATCTTGAGAGAACAAAGTTGTCCATGATTTAGGAAATGTGTTTCACATAAAGAATAAGAGTTGGCACTTTGCAAAGAAGCTCCTTTAGAACTGCGTCCAGATTAAAATATAAATGTAGATTATGGAAAAGTGGGCCATTAAATAACAACTGTGAGATCAAGTTACATAAGTGTGTGACGTTGTGATTTTAATGCGTCAATCATGAATGTTATAAAACAAATATAAATAAATTAGGCTGTTTTCAAGGAACCGATACTGATAGACATTCTTCCAACAATTTGTTCACTAAAGCCTATAGTTCTGTGTTATCCCATCTCTACATACAGAAGCAGATTGGATTGTTCTCTGGGAAGAAACGATGGTGGATAAAAGTGACTATAGTTAACCAGATGAAAAAATAAGACAGATTTTGTCATTACATCACTTTATCGTATGAAAAAGGTAAAAATTGTGTTAATTTTATGCCACATTTTAAATCAATTTATCACCCTCATGACATTTTCTCTCAAATTTCAGTTACTTTGATTTGAAAGAGAGTGAATGCTCCATTTAAAAACATTTAAATTGGAACGTCTTCAACGTTTATGTTCGAATAAGAATGACTTTCAACTATCAAATGGACAATTAGAATCACATTTTACTGTTCGGCTGCAGGATCAACTTGAGCTGCCGTGACAGAGGTTAAAATGATAAAAGCTTTGTTTGGTTTAATAAAAGAAGTGGAGCAAAGATAACAAGTATATCACTTCTAATCCCTATGCTACAGGACCTTGTCGTTTGCATCTTTTTATGTGCATCTTAATTGTTTCCAAGCGCTAAACACACAGATTATAGCGTCAGAAGAGTAAAACCATGAGGATGGATGATATTAGAGCACCATTCTTCCACTATTGCGTCCCTCTTCATCATCAGACAGACTATAAAATTCTCCGAAATGACTTCATATGAATGGACAAACCTCTTAATACTCTAGATGTCTTCCCATTTCCTACGATTTTATTTACTGGTGGTCTTTTTTAATACAGGGATGTTGTGGCTGTCTCTGGTTTCTGAGATGCTGTACATCGTTCTGCTGCTGGTGGGCTTCAGCCTCATGTGTATGGAGTTGGTTCGCTCCAGCAACGTCATCGACGGTCTGAAGCTTAATGCCTTTGCTGCTGTCTTCACTGTGCTCTCAGGTAGTCCTCACATTTGAATATTATTCAGCGTACAACCGTACATTTGTTAAAAACTGAAATCTCGAAAAAAATTCATTCCAGCTAAATCTGAAACCTGCCACTATTTTCACTGATATTGTTGTTAATGTAACGAAAAGTTGTTTTCTGGTCTCAAATATTGAAGATTTAAAAAAAAAAAAAAGGAATGTTTTCTTTTTTCTACCGCCAGGTCTTCTTGGCATGGTGGCTCACGTGATGTACACCCAGGTCTTCCAAGTCACGGTCAGCCTGGGCCCGCCCGACTGGAGGCCCTACAACTGGGACTACGGCTGGTCTTTCTGGTAGGACTTCACAGACGTGCTTTATTAGGGAAAAAACCCAATTAGACTTTCCACTCTTTGTGTCAAAGCTGAACGTCACCTTTCTCCAGCGTCACTGTCAGTAATGAAAGAGGTCCAAAGCTCTTATGTGATACCAGGATTAGGCTTTGGTCAGCAAAGCTGCAATGCAGACATGATTGGAATTTCTTGAGGGGATAAAGTTTCACCCCCTATACAATATCTACGCAATATGGTGGAATGAATTTTACATCCTTAAATACATTGTTTACTGACTCTGGGCCTGTCCTCACCTTTAATGAGCCTGTGGGTTCTCTTTTGCAGCATGGCGTGGGCGTCCTTCACCTGCTGTATGGGCGCTTCGGTCACCACCCTCAACTCCTACACAAAGACCGTCATCGAGTTCAGACACAAGCGCAAGACCTTCGAGCAGACCATCCGGGAGGAGCACGCCCGGGAGGCTTACGGATATTTCCGGGATCGCTCTTTGCACTCCATCTCTAAATCTTTGGACGCCTACTCCAGCAAGTCCTTAAAATCTGGACGGAAGACTCCCATACCCGCCGACTCTTTGGACCTGAGCGACTTTGCGGGATCTTTGGGGGAAGAGCAGTGCTGAGGGGGTCCCAAAAGTTTCTCTCGGAGCTTCATTTTGATGGCCGGAGATGCTTTTTATCCCGTCCATGCATGTGGATTCTGGGCCACACCGTTAGCTCCATCTGATTTAAACACTGCCTTAACCGAAACGTTTCCTGGAGCTTCGAGGCAAAATGAGCTAAATGTGGGAAATGCAGCTGAAAAACTGGCAAAAATGAACATTCAATGAAGTGAAATGTATCTCTTTGTGTAACCCACCGCAGTTTAGAATTAAAGAATATGTTGAGTATACCCAAATAAACAGAGTGGAGTTTAGTCGTATTTGCCCCAACGTTGACATGCAAAGCAGGATTAAAATGATGACGTCTGGCTCCTGTAAACTGTTTTGCTAAACACATCAATTCAGACTAAATATACACGAACCCAAGCTATTTACACATGCACTGATGCTGGGATTATGATTTATTTAATCATGAAAAAGGAATATTTAATAGTCAAAAATAACATTTAAGTTTACTTCAGAAGTGATATGACTTCAGGTCTCTTTAAAATGAAAAAAATAACTTCTCTAAAATGTAAAAGTCAGGTTTCAGGCCATAACTCTTGTTCCAGCCAAGTGTTTTAATAATTTTCTTATTAATTAATTTATAATTGTGCAGTTAACGTCGGCTGCAGTAATCACAGGACAAATATTTCCCAGACGATGCACTTGTGGATTATCGCCCGCGGCTCTCCTGTAAGATTACTTTCTCCGTGATTGGATTGGATGAGGATCAGGGACACCCTGGTTTGGCCACCAGTCAATTACGGGGCAAATTTTGAGACACGACATACCTGGCATGCATGATGTTTGTTGGTAAGAAGAAGGTGGAGTTCCCTGAGAGAACCCTTACATTTCCTCTCCACGCTGTGTTATCTGAGCATGATTTATTTTGATCTATTTACAATTCACATAATTTACATATCAGTGAGGTTTGTATTTCCACGGTTCGATGATTTTGTGGTTCTTTGTGTTCTAAGCTATTTATGAGAATATTTTATGAACATTTAAACAACATATGAGCCTCTTTAATTAATTTGATTGCTAGACTTTTGGCAAAAATTCCTTCCAACCTACAAAGGTTTCTAATTTGCTGAGAGCAAATAGTAACAATGTTGTCTGTCCATCAACTTTGATATTGTTGTCTTTTTCTAGGAAAGAACTTAACCTGACAGCTGATATTCTAATATTCATCCATCTATTATCATTACCGCTTATTCCTTAATGGGGTCGCGGGGAGAACTGGAGCGGTCAATGTGCGAGAGGCAGGGTCACCCCTGGACGGTCAGCCAGTCCATTGCAGGGCTGATATTCTAATATTGTGTGCAAATTGCATTTAAATGACAAAGGAATAAACTTATGCTCTGTTTGAGCAAAGTTACTCAATGTGCAGTGCAGAAAAAGGCTTCAAAGAAAAATATATTTGTGTAAAAGATGGCTAAAAAAAGTGAACCAGCACTCTCTTGTTGCCCTGCTGCCACCCTATTGACTTTCTATGTATAGCGGGACATAATACGGTTAGTCTGGAGGAATCAACACATCTCTGAAGTGCAAGTTAATTAAAAGTTGGGATCTCTTGAAAATCCCTTTGTTGTTCTTTGCACATTCGTCTCCCTGTGGAAGGATAAAGTCAGTCTCCTGTTCAGTAACCATCATCGTATTCATTCTGTGCTTGCTGGCGGGCCAACATGGCCTGGATGAGGGCGCTGGGGCCAGAAGGAGCAGGGTTTTGTGTTGAAGAAGGCCCCTGCTGAAGCCCACCCTCCCGCTCAGATCTTTGCCTGGCCTCCATGGCCTGTGCGACAGCACTGGGTCTGTTGGTTTGGATTTCTGAGAAATCTGTGCTGTAGTATTCATTCCTCTCTTCATTTTCGGCCCTCTGCCTGGCCTCCATTGCCCGTGCAAGTGCATCGTGGTTTGATGGAGGTTCTATGGCCGTGTGGGGAAGGTGTTCAGCTCTCTGACGGGCCATCGTGGCCTGAATCAAAGCGCTGGAGGTGGAAACATCCGAGGGAGAAGATACACTCGTGCTCTGCCTCTCGTCCTCTTCCTCCAGCTGTTGGCGAGCAAGTAGAGCCTGGACTACAGCACTAGAGTTGGACTGACTTCCCAAGGACTGGTGCTGGAAAAAAGAAAGGAAAATATTTAGGGGTTGCTAAAAAAAAAAAAAAAAAAGCTGAACATTCAAAGTGAATCTGACACAAACCCCTTTTTGTTTTCTTTGTTTGGCATTCTTGGGTTGAGATTTCTGGAGGTTCTGCAGCTTATCTAACAAGAAGGTCTTGTCTTTCCCTTCCTGGTGAGAGAAAAATACATGGAGAAGAAGGAACTGAAATTGAATATAAAATGACATGCACTAAAGAAAGAAAAGACAGAGTTCAGACAAACCAAATCTATACTTTGAGAACAAACAAACAAACAAAAATCCCACTCACATTAACAATCTGTTGTCTCAGGAGGCTGATGAGCTTCTTACGCCCCTGAGTGATTTGCCAGAAGATGTACATGATGACACTGAACAGCAAACATGTGAACAGAAAAGTATGCATCAATAAACAAACAGCAAAGAAAAATGGATGCGTGAAAACATGAACAACTCAGTGTACAAGCAGGTCTTATCTGCTCCAAAACACAGAACGGGTACAACAAAGTGGGACCACATGCTTACAGGATGATAATCGTGATAAGAAAGTAGAAGATTTCACTCCTGATGACGTTCTGGTAAATCCACACCACCCAGTCAGAACCTGGAATGTCTTCCAGATGATCTATCCAGACTCCGACTGCACTGAAGGTATTGTTTAGTCCCCGAAAGGGACCACACTGCTCGGAGGGAGTCAGACTAAAAAGAAACAATGAGAACAAAACACGAGTGAGGTCAGGTTCAGGGGGTATGTGCACTAAAGATTTGACCAACACGAATCATTTGCGTGAATAGATTTGACCCTTTCTATACGAAATGATAAAAAAAATGATTTACCTCCATGCGGTGTATGCAACAATTGACAGGGCTCCCACAAAGAAAGGAAAGAAGAGGAGAAAGATGAAGATGGTTTGCATCTGAGCCGCCCTGCCTGTTCGCCGTGGGGGCTGGCAGTTCTGGGTCAGGCTGACCTGGGGTGATGCAAAAAGAAGACAAATGGGCAACCCTATATATACATGCGTACACATGCCCTTTTTTCCCCACAAACTGCCCTTGCAAAAACTTATGTAAAGTTATTAGAGCTTACAGAATCATTCGTTTCAGTCTGCACATCTCATCTATTTCAGCCCACAATGAAAAATGTCACAGCTCTGAAGAGCTTTGCTTTAAAGGTCAGTCGGCGTGTTCATGAAACATTCAGCACCGACAGATCCACCTCGGATCAAATTACAAATCATACCGAGGTCATTTCATTCTCTAAGACTGGCCGACCTCACACACAACCCTGTCATAACGATTCCCTCGTGAACCCGATACCCTGACCGTCTTTTCCATCACACAAAATAAAGACTTTACCCACGTGAAAGGAATCCAATTAATTATTGACACTCGTGCACAAAAAGTAATATGAGCTTTTAGGTGTATAAGAAATAGTTCAGGCAGGAATTTCATTGTTCTGCCTGTGGCAGCATGTCTTAGTGTATAGGTCAGGTCTACAAACCTGCTAACCAGCATTTACCTTCTTTATGTAAAACAAAATTAAGAATTTGAGGATCTGGATGGCAGGTAAAAGAGGAGCAAAATAGATCCCAATCCTGTAAAGACAAAGAATAAAGGTAATGAAACTTTGATATAATTATAGGTAACTTTTGACATGAATACAACTGTGAGCCACTTTTAGATCCTGTAAAATGCATTACCAGGCCAGAGTCTGTCCATAGATGAGTTCGAGGACGTTTCTGGCCACATCAAACTCTGGTAGCCCGAGATTTGGTTGTAGTTTGGTCCCGATCACCCTGTAACGCAGCAGTACTGGGTTTGAGTGACTTCCAAGGTTACAATTTTACATTTCTGCGATTAAATGAAAAGTAGGATGGAACTTACTTGCTAAGAAACTCTCCGAAAAAGGATCCCAGCATCAGAAAGATGAAGTCAAAAATCACCAGGCGGTACAAAGCCTGCCCTACCATGGACTCCCAACACTGAGAGAAAAACAAGGTTATGAAAACAAGGTTGTGAACTAACTTGAAATTACACTGATGCATATGAAAAGGTACAAAAAGCTGTTTGAAAACATACCGAAAAACTCTGAGACACAACATTCATCCAGTAGTAACATAAAACACCCAGAATGGACATCCTGAGTCCAACATTTCTGCAGTTGGAAACAAATGGGAAAAGATTCCATGGAATACTAACACTTAAAGTTTCAGGAAAATCAACTGCTTTGATTTTTGCCAGAGCAAAATGAGATTATGACTTTAGCACCTCATTAGTCACTCATTAAATTTATAACACTCAAATCCTTGATAGCCCTTTCCAAAGAACTATAATTTGCATGTTAATAATTCATCACTTGAACGCAGCGCATAGATTACACAACAGGAGGCATCATTACAGAACTAATCTTTTCCTGTGCTGGGGGCTGGAGTTGAGGTTGTTTTCTCTTCACTTTTTCCAGACTTAATTCCAAACTGAGTGAAGTTTGGTTTAGGGGCTATTCTAATTCAAATAAAGTAAATTAATTAATAGTTTGGAATGACGAATAAAAAAAAAAAAGTATCCCTGTTATATCACCTGACCACCAAGGCGTAAATCTGTTTGCGTTGGCTGGAGTAGTGTTCAAACTTGTTGAAGAGGGAGTAGAGGAGCGGAATAACCAGGTTCATTAGAGACACCACAAAGGGAACCAGGAGAGTCTCCGCTTCCTGGGCCGGAGACCAGCTGCCGCTGTCTGAAACTCGCTGTAAAGATAGCACAGAATCAGTCATTGATAACACACTCTGCTGCTGGCGAGTGACTTGACACATTACTTTCAGTGAGCTTTATGACTCATGTGCACATAAAAAATAGTCCACTTGTATTCAACAGATTTTTTTACAAACAACGTAACTACAAATCGATTTGTGACAGAAAATGGAATGTTTAGTTCACTTCACTAGAGAACAATGATGAAAAATACATGTATTTTTAATCATTTTATTTTATAAATGTTTTTTTTTTTGTTGGATTTACATCTTTTGTTTACTTTGATCTACATTTAACAAACAAGTATGACCATAAATATTCCGTTTTGAGTTGTGTACCTGCTGTTCATGCTGGCAGAGGAAGAAGATGCCGGCTCCACAACCAACAGCCAAGCTGGTGGAAAGAACCCAGCAGCCCAAATGAACCCCAAAGTCCTTCAGCTTTTCAGATAACGTTAGCAACTCCCTCTGGGCTTTCTCTGATAACGACTCCTGGAAAGACAGCGGAAAGTTAAAGACACTAATGACAAAAAAAAACGCTTTTTATAAAGAAGGTTTGGAACCACCTTGAGCTGGACGCGGAGGTTGCTCCTGCGTTGCCTCACGGCTCTCTCATTGGTTATGCTGAAGTCCCAACTGCACAAGAGCTGCCATGCGCCGTTGGAAGAGGGGTCAGCCAGGACGTAGTTCTTCTTAAATGAGCTGGCCATGCTGTGCGAAAGTGAGGACAGAGACGGAGTTTGAGAACCACAAGCTGACAAGACGAAAAGGCCGAAACCTTGAGGTAAAAGTCCCGGTCCAGACGTCACGCAGAGAATTTCGACTCACCTGAAAATTAGCACGAGCCCGCACATCACCATATAGACGGCTATGGTGAAGAAATAGGCCAGCTGCATGTCGTACTCCACCGAAACACCGACTGTCTCATTGCTGTAGCCCCCGTAATACATGACAGTGTAGTTGAAGTAACCCTATAGAAGCCAAACGTTTCAAGGTAAGGTGTCATTTTTGTGCTCCTGGGGGTAATTCATGTGGGAATGAAGACTATTCAAACTGTGTTGAGGGTAAGCAGTGTGCTCCACTCACAGCTCCAGTCAGGAACTCCAGACCTCTGAACTTCACATTTGAAGGCACCTTTGGTGAAGGTTCATGAACGAGGAGCGGGATTGTGATGAAGCCGAAGTTGACCAGGAAGGAGAAAATGTTGATCATTAAAAGCCACTTGAGGAACAGGAAGTAGGTGAGAACACTGGAGCCAAACTTTCCACCGATCTCCTTCATGATGCCCTGCCACAGCTCCAGGGTTTGCTTGGCTGACTTCACACCGTACCCACATCTGCGGAGAGACTGAGAAGACAGCTTTTCACACATATGAGACACTATCATGCAAAGAATGCTGAGTTAGAGCTGAAGAAACACTCACCAGGGACGCGTTTTCAGAGAACTCTGCCAACAGCGTGAACTTCTTAGATCTGTTGGAAGACTTCAACGCCAGCACTTGATTCCTATTAAGATCATTTGGAAGAAAATTTGGCATGGTTATTGAGTCCTAGTCTGTTACAACAACAACAACTGCGACACAATGGGAGACTAATCACACAAGACACAATGACTCATTCCGTACAAAAGTCTTTGCTGTTTCATCGTAACTTGTGAATTGATGCAAAGTCATTTTGAAATGCAGTTTCCTGCAGGGCTTCCACATGCACGGGCCTCTGCATTTGTTCGGGTACTGTGGTCTTTCTGCCTCATCAAGCACTGACCTCCAGCTCACACTGAATGCAACCGAGTGTTAAACAACTGGGATGAGTATGAACACCTTTGGGGTCAGGTGGCACGCTTCACTGCTGACTGTCTGCATCGGGTTTGAGGTGAGTTGTCGACTTAGGACGAGTTTATTGGAGCCGAAAACAAAAGCTATATCTGTTATCATGTTTCCCAAACATCTGTACGACCAAAGCACTAGGTCAGATTATAAATGCCTCTTTTCCGATTGCTCATTTTATGGTTCCCAGCATGGTCTAATGGTTAACTAAATGCGTCATGAATGACACATGCAACGGATTGCCAGTCATCTTTTACTCCAGCTTTTAACCCACCTGATATGCTTCTTCTCCTCAAAGCTCATTGGAAGAGCCCGGATGGCTCTGGTTTGGTCTTGCATTGACATGGCAACAAGTTCCTTGACCAGGTTTTTCTCCTCTGTCAGGAATGAAAGACAGGACAAGCATCGCCTTTATCTTTCCAAGCGCTACCATCCTAAATGCAAATGGTGTCACATTCTGACACTGGTGACGGGCACTTACCATTTTCCATCTCACTCTGGACGACTTCCTCTGTAAAGGCTGCATGGGCAGGATGTGCATGAGGAAACAAACTCATCCGTCTCATCGTCATTCCCCTCCATCTCATTGACATGTTTCCTGAAAGAACACACAAGAACATTAAAGGGTGCTGTTATACTCAGTTTGGATTAAAAAGTAACCGAGAAATGCAGAAAACATGCAACACTTGTCTAATGTAGCCTTTATCAGTTTGAGAGATTTTTTGTTTGCCTCTTTGTGGTGTCCACTAATCACACATTACTTTCCTGACACCACTTGTCCTTGTAATCTTTATTTCAGATAAAAACAAGACATTGAAAGTGATATCTTAGCTGCCCATAAACAAACACTAAATATGACACCATAAAGTTTAGCTTTAAACTAAACTACAGCAAGCTGATATTAGAAAAAATTTTCATTGAAATTTTTTTCCCCCTCTGATTTCAATATCAATTTCTACAAATCTGTCATGGAAACTGTGTTTCCTTATGATCTAGTTTGCCTAGATAGCATTTGTCCAAGAATCCCCTTTGCTGTTTTATTTCTCGGCTCACTTCCTTGTTCTAGTTGTTTGTACTCCAATAATAATTATCCAGAGTGACCGTCTTTGCGCAGAATGCTGATAGCCTGAGCCTTTTCTTTTCTTGCACTTTCATTCTATGGGAACAATGTCCGACCTAAAACAGCCTTCGAAATGATAATGAACAGTACTGAATATAGTAAACGGCGCCTCGGTCTGTACCTGCCAGTGCAGAAGGGAGTCGAACAGAAGGCGACTGAACGAACTGAGAGTCGTGGTCAACGAGAAATGTACTGTGATCTGAAGTTGAACAAAGTTAGGAAGAGGTTAAGAAGTATCAACAAAGGTGTCATGAAGCAGCACGTAGACCGTGTAGGAGGAAGTTAAAACAAAATTAGTGTTCCTTTCTATAAACACAAGTGTGAATTGGTGTATGAATCTCCATTGGCATGTTTATTTCCATTCGTTGAATAAAGTTCTCCATGACAACGGACATAGATTCTACTGAAAAAAAAAGAATACTTTAGCAGTTTTCTTGATATTCTTGTGTGGCAGTTACATGAAAGTAGTTGTGGTAAAAGTTGCTTTTTTGTTTTGCAAGCAAATCTTCCATGACCACAGTCAGAGTTAGCCTGTTTAATCTGTGGAGTCACAATAAAGCCATAATGATCACTAAACCTTGCTGAGAAGGTGTCATAGCTGCTCTGACACGGTTGGAAGGAGAATCTACTGGATGTAATATTTCTCAGTTGTGTCATTTCGGACAAACATTTGAAACTTGCCATGAAATGAATCTTGAATGAATGTGTCACTTTGCAGAGTTAAACTCACTAATGCTGTGCTGCCACGGAGGACGCCCTGAGTCTGTGGGGATGTGCCCCATGGGGATGCTCTCTCCTCCCCTCCAGCTCTCCCGCTGCCAGCCGTCCTGTGGTGCTCCCCGGGCCGCCGCACCGCTCACCCCCGACCTCTGACCCCACCAGGCCGGGGTCTCCCTGGCATAGGGATTACTGTGGGTTTTGCTGGAAGACCTAAAAGCCAAGAAGGAAAAAGAAAATACACGTTGAAATGAAGTTTAAAAGCCACTTTATGTGTTGTCGGGTTTTCTTTTTGCCATCTGTGAATTGTGATGTTTTCAAGCCCGTGGAAAATCTGGTATTTCAGATGTAAGATGTGATTAGTATCTCAGATGCATACAATACCCACTTTGGCATTTCTTGTATTTAATCACCTGAATATTGGTCAATAGTTAAAGAATATCTAATATGTATTCGTTCTATGTTTTAACCAAATTCACTTTTATACTTTTTGAGGGGCTGAGTAATACTATCTCTAATAAGAAATCATCTGGGGATGCACAGGATTAACTTTTAGAAAATGGTAAAAAAGTTCAGTTAGACCGTAAAGTCCTTGAAAAAGAAATTAACATTAACATCTACCAGCTTTGTAATAAACAGGATAAAATCAATAACCATTGCTCTGCCTTCTCTTTTAGAACATTGAAGTGCTGTTTAAATGCATGTGAATGAATCTGTTTGCATAGAACCACAAACCTTTTGTCAATTTCCAGTGTCTCACTGTCATGGTAAGCCAGGTTAAAGACTCCTCCGTTACTGTAAATGGACATGAAATCCCTCTGATCCTCTCACTTTCTTGAAGATGAAAAAAGTTTTTCTTCACGTGCTGCTGTACAAAAAAAGAAAGTAAAAAAGATTGTTGTGTGGACGAATCCACTTTGCGTCTAGACTTCCTTAGAAGTCCCTCATTCAGCTTTAATTCAAAGCAAACAAGCTGCATCAAGTGTGCAGGCGAAGTGGTTTTCAAAAGAGTGACAGTTCTGTTGCTGGATGGAAGCTTGTGCAAGTTGATACTTTGCTCTCATTCTCATCTGTTCATTATTAATTCATTCAGCAGATTTAGTTTCCAACACAAGTAGTGTCAAGCATAGCTCCAGTTCTCACTCAAAGTCAGCAGTTTTAACAATAAACACAGAAATGAAGATGATCATTCCACTTTTCATGGAGGAAATGAATATGGGTAACATGGATATCTGAGCTTTTTCCACATAGATTTTTTTTTTACTGTAAAAGAAATACACAATACTCAGTTTTGTTATAACATTTCTTACCTTACTGTGTTGTAATGACAAGGGAATATAAAGGTAGCTGTCCTGATTAAATGTCGGGTGACTTGTTGTCGTATGTAGTCCGGTGAGAACCTGTGAACCAGATCTGAGACCTACTGTTACGGTGAGATAACACATTGGACTGTCAGCTTACCAGGAAGTGTGAGCCCAGCTCATAAAGGTAGAAGTCCACTGCTTCTGAAAAGCCAAACACCTCAACCATGTTCATTTCCTGGTGTAGCAAATGATTAAACCCTGTGGGTCGGCATTTAATTACCATCCTACAAAAAAGTACAATGCGTGTCCTGGGGTTTATATTACCCTTAATGAGATCAATACATAATGACTCTAACCTGAACTTTACATGAACCAAAAATCTGCATCACAGCATTTTTTCACACTCAAACTTTTCTTGTCTGGTAAATGTTTGCCTATTTAATGAATAGCTTTACCTGTAATCATTTTTAATTTAATATGTTTTTAGTTAAGTTTTTGTTTTTCTCTCTCATTTTCTTACTGTCAGCTGAAAACATAACAGGATCATGCTAAATATAACAGTAAAAGCTACTTAAAAAGATTACTGTTAAATCAAAAAGTAAAATTAAAAAATAATTTAATTTGATTAAAATAATCTAATAAGCCTACAATCCAATTTCTCTCTATGTTCAACAATTATTGCAATCTTATTAACCCTCCATTACATTTTTGAATAAGTACATTAATAAGGGGAGTATTATGTTATACCTTATTGTATGCAAAAAAAAAAAAGTATTGTAGGTTGTCAGTGAGTTATTAAAGAAAATATCATTATTTTGCTACTGCTCTTCGGTCTCGTTAACGAAAGGATAGAGTTTGTTTTGGCGAACATGAAGCGGAGTCTCTCTGAGCTGCTTCCACATTCAGGAAGTGGTTTGTGGAAAAACGCTGTTGTCGTCCTGACAGCAGGATATTCCCCTCCCATGTATTCGACGAAATCTGCAAAGATAATTTTAGTTAGTTAATTAAGAGGTATTCTTTCCCCGTTGGATAAGGAGACCATGGAGGTCGACTCAGGTAACCGAAGTTTACTTCTGTCCTCACTTTTCCTCCATAACTTCGGCATTAGCTAGCCGGCTAAAGCTGCTAGCTGCCGGCTGAAGGCTGGAGAACAACAGGCTAAGTTTAGTCTTTTAAGTTAAAAACTGAAAAGATTGGGAGATTGTGTGTCTCCATCACTATGTAGTGTCTGGACTCTCGGGAGTTTTCGCCTCATTTCTTGGAAATTTTGGTAATTGGAAAAGTAATCCGAAATTATAGCTTTGGGCATTTTTGTTTTTGTTGTTCCTTTAAATAAAGTTTATCAAAAACGTCTGTGGTTCAATTCAAAGCGAAAAATAAATTATTCCACTTCCTCTGTAGGAAAAAATAGAAGGACAGGCGGTAAAGGTACCTAAAACTCCCCAAACAGATTATGTACAGAAAAAGATTATACATATGTGTAATTATATAGAAATATATTATGTATTCCTACGTATACATTCATCTTGGTACGGTGATAAAGCTAAATAATATTTAGAAATATTACTATACATATGGAAATAGGGATCAGGATTTTGGAGTTTTTGCCAAGGTTTTACTCCAAGTTTGATTTTGAAAAAATAAAAAACAGTCCAATCCCAATTCCTCCTCTTAAACATGTCCAACTATTTTTAAAAGGTATGAAACACATTTTATTTCAGGATGAAATTCACTGGAGAAACAATTGCCTCATGATTGTGTCTTGTCTTTGAAGTGTTCTTCACCGACCGCAGTGGACGGATCTCCAGTAACATCCTTCTGGACCAGCTGCCCAGCTACCAGTCCCTCCTGTACCGCAGGAAGTCTTCAGCCAGCGGCAGCAAAAGGCGGCACAGCTCCAGGGCGCGCCGCGAATCCTCCGATAGCGGGAAATGGGCGGTGGGTACCGCCAGCCGGAAGGAGGGCAGACAGAAGGGCCAGATGGAGCAGCGCCCCATCAGAGAACTGGCCAAAACCATGGCCGAGAAACGAAGAGACAAGTAGGGCAACTTATTGATATGAATCCGATCCGTTCAGACGTGTAACGTGACACTTCATCGCTTCACTATCTGTGGTGTTTTTTTACCTTAACTTCTATCAGAACACAGCGTCTGGAGGAAGAGGCCAGAGTGTTGAGCAAATGGAGGCAGTGGAGGCAAACCACGGGCAAAGATCTGAAGAGGTTAAGGGACGACGTGCACGAGTGGCTGAGCTCCCTGGAGCTTTGGAGGGGAGACATCCACCAGATAGAGGGTACCACAAAGGGCCTTATATCTTACATTGAACACGTTCGCAGAATGAGCCCGTGGTGTTGACCTCCCTCTGTTCTCCCTCTTTTCCTGCCCCGTAGGGATGTTTGGAACAGGGATCCTGTCCTACTTCTCCTTCCTCCGATTCCTGGTCATGCTCAATCTGGTCACTTTCCTGCTCATGTTCGGTTTCGTCATGCTGCCCATCATCATTGCCTCCCACGCCGGAGGAAACGCCACCTACAACCAGCACGACGGTGAACGGACGAGGCTTTGTTTCAGTCTAAGGTGTGAATAAAGCGGGCGCTGTTTTAAACGGCTGTTCTACCGTTCTGCAGGAAGCCCGTGCAGCGTGTATCCCGGCAGTGCTCGCCGAGGCCTCGTCATCTTTCACGAGCACATCACAGATCTGCTCTCTGGTGGTGTAAGTCCTTAAGCTTCACGTCTTGGAGCCTTTAGAGCTGTGTGATTACTCATCCCCCCTGTTGTGCTTAATCTGCAGGGCTTTCTGGAACAAACATATCTCTTTTATGGCTTCTACAAGGTGGACAAAATCCACTTTGCAAACGTCACATATAATCTGGCTCTGGCGTACCTGCTGGCAACTGTTGGGTACCTCTTCCTGAGTCTTATATGGATCGTTAAAAGGTATTTGAAAAGTAAACCGACGAGGAATGGAACTGATGTAAAGGAAAGTGGTCTTAAACTTGTCCGTTTTTCGTCTTTTCTTTTTTTAAGGTCAGCCACAGGATTCAAGCGTAACCTGGTTCAGGATGAGGATCGGTTCCAGAGTTTTTGCAACAAGATCTTTGCCGGCTGGGATTTCTGCATCACCAACGTGAACGCAGCGAAGCTGAAGAGGAGCAGCCTGCTCTACGAGCTCAAGGTGAGTCCAAGCATCTTTCTTTTCTCCTCCATATTTGCAAACCTTTTTTCAGGAAACATAAAGCTGTCAGTTTGATGAATGAACATGGAGGTTAATTATCCCTGGATCATTTTGTAAAGTCCCCTTTTGTCTGTAACTGTGGTTTTCAGGTAGGACAGGCCATCTGCGGCCTTTATTAAAGCGCTTTGCTTCATTAAACATTTTAATGAATAAAACAAACTGATGGAAGTCCCATGTATGTCTCTTTGTTTATAGTTGTCTCATCTGAGGCTGTTCCGTGTTGAATAGTGAAAGCATACGATTACAGATTCCTGTTCAGCATGAATGAAACCTAATACAGGCCAAACAGACCTTGTCTAAACCAAATCAAATGATCCAATCAGATTCAAAGGGTTTGCAGAGGTAACTTTGATGTGTGCATTGCTTGTTTTGTGCATTGGTACGTTTTTATTGATTGAGTGATGGCAGATCCGTCTTCCAAAAAGAGGTTACACGAGCTGTGATGTTTGAAAAGGGCCCTTGTGTTTGTGTCTTTGCGCCCTCAGACTGATTTGGAGGAAGAGAGGATCAAACAGAAAATAGCAGATCGCACTCGGAAAGAGAAGTGTCGGATTTACCTCATCCGCCTCATCCTGAACCTTTTCGTCATCGGTGTTCTGGCTGCTTGTTTCTACAGCATCTATCTGGCCACCGTCTTCTCCCAGGGAGCACAAATGGAGGAGCTGAAGGTGATGAAATGTTTCAGATAGCTTCCATTATAGCAGCTTATTATTGTTCTTCGCTCCTTTCTTATTAAAGAAAGGGATCCAATGATAATAATTGCTCATCTGCATGTTTGCCTTTATCCCAAGTGTCAAACAACCCAAATATTTGACAGATTCTTTCTTTTTCAACACAAAAGTAAAGAGGATAAGCTCTTCATGTTCCTTTTCCTGCCTTTCAGGTGAATTTCGCTGTGGATCTGATCTATGAATATCTGCCCTCCATCGTTATCACCTTGGCCAACTTCATCACACCCCTCCTCTTCTCAGTTATCATCAACTTTGAGGATTACTCACCAGCCTTTGAGATCCGCTTTACCCTCATGAGGTACAGTGGACCTCCACACATTTGCACAACCTGTCAAGCAGTGGTGATGTAAACCTGAAAAGTGGCTGAAATCCTCCCTCTGTCTCTCCTCGTTTCCTGACAGGTGTGTCTTCATGCGGCTGACGAGTATCGGGGTTTTGCTCTTCTCTCTCTGGTCTCAGATCACTGACTGTAAGAAGGAGCCCTGTATCTGTGGCTACAATCACGTGCTTTACTCTGTGAGTGGGTTTCACCCTGTTCAGCACGATTGCTTCAGTCACTCAGGGAAACTTAAAAAAGGATCAAATCCTGGTGATGATTTAACATTTAAAGGAGTTCAGTTCTACAAACCACGATCCAAATTTCAGGATCCAAATAACATTTTTGTCCCTTGTTGATGATATGAAGCAGGACCTCCTTTAACACACCTTTGCTGACAGTCAGACGTCCTCACTTAAAAAGGTCTGCTGAAATCCAGTCTGAATGTTTGCTCAGCCAAACCTCTCTATGTCTGCGTTGTTGTCTCTAGTGCTGGGAGACGCGTGTGGGCCAGGAGATGTACAAACTCACCATCTTCGACTTCCTCATCATCATATCGGTCACCATATTTGTGGAATTTCCTCGAAAGTAAGATCTGACGCTTTAATAAAATATAAAAAAGATGTCAAGTGAGATGGGATCACCATATTTGTTGTCACTTACTAGATGAAAGTCTTGAAAATTACTCCAGACTTTTTTGTTTCTGTTGGGGGATCTTAAACCCCTTTACTCACTCTGATGTCAGTATTAATAATGTTTTAGTTTGTAATTAGCTAAGGGCACCTCTCTTAACTCAAGTGGAATCCCTTAATGCAGAAATTGTACGTTAACAACATATGTTCTTTTTTTTTTAAATATATTTTCTTAGCTTTTTAGATCATAATGAACCAATATTCTTTATTATATTGAGCATCCTGTTTCCCCAAGAGGTGTTTTCTAACGTTGGCACTACCCTGTGTATCTAAGACTGATTGTGAAGCACTGTGACTGTGGGCTGGCTAAGTGGTGGGGCCAGCAGGAGTTTGGTATTCCCCAAAACGTGCTGGAGATCGTCTACGGTCAGACCATCTGCTGGATCGGCACCTTCTACTGTCCGATGCTTCCTGCCATCTGCACCATCAAATACTTCTTCATCTTCTACGTCAAAAAGGTGCCCGTCTCACACTTTGTTTAACCACTGCAAAAGGGAAACATCTGAAATGATGGTGGCACTTCTTTTAAAAGCTCTCGCTTACAGCTTTTGCTTCATCTTCGTCAGTTATCTTTGATCAACAACTGCCGTCCAGCCACGCGCCCGTTCCGAGCGTCCAGCTCTAACTTCTTCTTCCTCGTCGTGCTTCTGATCGGGCTCGCTCTCGCCTGTCTGCCGGTGGCTGTTAGTGTAGCCATGTGAGTAATACCCGTTGTGTCTTTACTTACACATATTGTTTATATAGTCACATCAAGCTGATATAGAACTGGAATTTTCTTGGTATTTCTGTAGGTACTGAAAGTACAAAAGCAGCTGTAATCTGGATCTATGACCAATCTATTGTCAATCTCAATGGAAACTATTATTGTTATTCTGATTTATCAAGAATCTAAAATACAAAAGACAAAACAACAACTGGCGTGGCCACATGTTGTTTCACTTTGCACAACTGTACTCATCCTGACCTGTTTTTGCCCAGAATAAACTGTTCCCAGGCCTGTGGACCGTTTGTGAACTACACCACCTCCTGGGAGGTGCTGCCCACTACAGTGTCCCAGCTGCCACCCGGAGCCAAAAACCTCCTCTTGGCTCTGTCCTCGGAGGCCTTCGCTGTCTCTTTCTTTGTCGTGACGTGGTGCGTTGACAGTCCGATATTTAAACATTTAACGGGCCCATTTGTTTTTCTCTGCCTGGCTTCATCCTAAATATGGATTGACATTCTTTGCAGTTTGGCCATGTTTTATGTGATCGCCCTGGCTGGAGCTCACAAGAAGGTGATAAACCAGCTGAGGGATCAACTGGCCATGGTACGTCCATTCAAAACTCAGATTTGAGGCATAGATTGAACTGTGGCCAGAAGTCTTATCTTTTTTGTTGCAATTTCGGTTCCTCAGGAGGGGCGTGACAAACGCTTCCTGATGCAGAAGCTGTGCCAGGCCCAAAAGCTCTCAGCAGTCACATCCCCGGGGGCCAGGTCTCAGCCCCGCAGCGGCAGCAGGAGCAGCCCCAGCTACCACACAAGCTTCGCCAGCAATTTCAGTGAGAGTGTTGTCCTGGCACACTCGCCACCTAACTCCTTCACAAATGTGTGAGGAGAGGAGAGGACCTCAAGGGTTTCCGGAAAAAAAACAGATGAAAGCCTGGACAGATGCACTGGCGCTGAACTGGAAATGAATATCTGTAAATTATTTGTTTTTATATTGAGGAAACTACAACTCAAGAGCTTCTGTTGACTGAGCAGTATGCCATGTTCAGTGTTCTTTTTCACAATCAGAATATTACTAAGCTACACCAAATTGAGAGCTGTATGTCAGCTGTTGCGTTTTCTTTACTAGAAGTACCTCCATCTTTTCCTTCTGAGAAGGAATTCTGTTTAAGACATCTTATCTTTTCTGCACTTTAACTGTAGTAACATAGTAACTCGTATTTTTCTACTACTTCAACCTGAATATATTAAGTGTCTTTGTGTTTACTTTTGGGAACAATAATTATGCTGATACTACATTTTCACTACACCTGTATTTTACTTAGAGTAACTTTAATGGGTTATAGGGTGTTGTTAATACTGATTAGTTCTACACTGTTGCTATTTTTACTTTGTTTTATTATTTCTTTCTATTATTTGCGTGCAAGTATTTTATAATAGACGTGCCTGGAAAATAAAAAGCAATATATCATGACATTAAGTTTGCGCCTTGTTTTTCTACCTCCGGGCCGCTAGAGGTCGCTACCGGTGGCGTCCGTGGCCGCTAACTGACAACCGGAGGCAGCGTGTAGTGCAGCTCCGCTCGGTGTGAGCTTAGCCTGTCAAGTCACAAAATGTTGAGAATTACGGTCCGGGCAGATATGGGAACCCTTGGGATATTACTCTGCATCGTGTATTCTCAAATATTGACCGTCTCTTCTGATGACATAGTGGTGGCCTGTGGCGGCTTCGTGAAGTCCGACGTTGAAATCAATTACTCTCTGATCGAGGTGAGAGTGCTAGCGTTCCGGTTAGCATCCCGGCTAACAGTTAGCTGCTTTATCGCAGTGAGGCAAAGGTTAGGCGGAGTTATTTGGGTGGAATGTCAGTTTGTAAGCAATGCAAAAAAACGTAAAAACTAAATGTAAAAAAGCCGGACTGTTTGAATGAAAAGTGTTACACATGTTACTGCTACAATAATTGTACGTTTATTCGAGTTTGACGATGAATTGGTTTATTGCTTCATAGCTAGGTTGATTTTTCAGTAACGGTTTACTGACCGTTTCTATTAAAAAATATTTTTACTTCGTAATTCACGTATCGCACGTGGCTGTCACTCCTAATCCAAATATCTGTAGGTGTTGAGTGGGAAGACCTTAAGTGCTGAGTGGGAAGACCTTAAGTGCCCCTGGTCACCAGTCTTAATCCTGCCTCATTCAAAGTAATGGGGATTAGCCATTTGCTCACTTTAACAAACGCAATCAACTCCCTTCCAAGTTGTCTGGTTTTTGTTTTGGTTTACAAATCTCTCACTTAAGTCATGTGTAAGGTATGGTGACATTTTCCTTTCTTTATGTGTGTCTGCCCATCAGATTAAGTTGTACACCAAACAAGGTTCATTGAAATATCAAACTGACTGTGCTCCCATCAATGGCTACTTCATGATTCCTCTGTATGACAAGGTAAGGAGCCCACCCACACAAGTACTTCTGCTTTGATATTTACTGGTACTTGTAATTTACAGTTTAATTTTGTCCTTTCCCCTGCACAGGGAGACTTTGTTTTGAAGATTGAGCCTCCTCTTGGATGGAGCTTTGGTAAGACGCCCTCCTCATTCGGTCATTTTTCTGTTTAAAGTCAAAGGCTAAATGTCCTTTTATGTCTGCCGCCAGAACCTACCAGCGTTGACCTGCATGTGGATGGGGTCAGTGACATCTGCACCAAAGAAGAAGACATCAACTTTGTCTTCACGGGATTCTCCGTCTCAGGAACGGTGAGAGACCTTTAAGCAACCCTGTGGAAAACAGGATTCCTGTTCTAAAAACAGGACTGTGCGGTCAGACTGACCTGCTTGATTCTTTCTTTAAATTTGCAGTCTAACAAGGATGCTTTTTTTTTACCAGTTTTTCTGAAAAAGATCCTTCTGGAGATTATTTTTCAGAAAATCCATCTTTGATATCTGTACTTTAAAGAAAAAAATCTATTAACATGAACAAGCTAAGTGAGAAATTGATGGCAGATCTGTGTAACGCTAAGTTTGGCCTGTGTTTGATAAATATTTTTCTTGGTCTGTGTTTGTGTGTCATCTCTATTATTCAGGTTCTGAGTAAGGGCCACCTACTCGGCCCCGCAGGTGTAGAAGTGAAGCTGAGCCGAGCAGGAACAGATGAGAAACTCCAGAGTGTGGTCACTCAGCCTGGAGGGAAGTAAGTAAGATCTTACTCAGATGCTTCAGGAGGAATCTTATGGTTAAAACTGTACACCAAATAATTATTTCTGTTTTTTTCATCATAGGTACACTTTCTTCAAAGTGCTTCCTGGAAATTATGACATCACAGCTTCCCACTCCTCTTGGACTCTAGAGAAGGTTTTTATAATTGTTATTGGACCTTTGGGGAAATCTTGTAAAAGCTACTTGACCACGTGTGTTTTGGTTGCTTTGAGTTTAGTTGTTTGCCAAAGATTGATAGTTTAAACCTGATCAATGGCTGTCAGTGGGGGGGCACCCTGACTTGCTCAGCTGATAAAGTACTTTATCGGGCCAGTAGGGTTATAAAAAAATAAGGCCCATTAGTAAGTACCCCGTTCCTTCCAGAGCAATTATTCCAGCATCTCTGACACAATCTTTTGCCGTCTTCCCGTAGAGCTCCACCTCAGTTCAGGTCTCCAATGCCAACGCCCCGGCCGCTGACCATCTGCTGGTGGGAGGCTACGATGTCTCTGGGGACGTCCGCAGTGATGGAGAGCCCATGAAGGAGGTCACCTTCCTGCTGTACTCAGCCACAGTCAAGAGAGAGGTAAGCTACCGACCACGTCCAAGTGGTTTGTGTGTCCTATTCCGGATTATTTGAAATTTTCAAAAAGTTCTTTGTCTTTATAAATTCTCTGCTCATAATCGAGTGCTGACGATTGATCTGTGTATGAGTTCTGCAGAATTTTTAAAATGTAGTTAGAACTGAGTGCTGTGTTGGGTTTGGTAGGACATCAGCGGCTGCAGCACCTCACCGGTGGAGGGGGCAGACTCCGGGGACAGCTCCCTCATCTACCTGTGCAGCGCTCTGTCCAGAGACGACGGCACCTTCACCTTCCCCTCGCTGGCCAGCGGCGAATACACCGTGGTAAGTTCAGCTTTCCTCCCTGCCCGGGGAAACAAAAAAACAAAACAAAACAGAGAGACGGAGACCATTTTGTTTGTAATGGCACTCAAGATGGTCACCCCCTTCATCTCAGCTCTGGTCTGTTAAACAACTCCTCCAGTGTGTGAGGTTTCTTACTAGAAAAAGCACTCTGTTTATGGCTGTGCTGAGGAGGTTTGTGGGGAGACTACTTTTCTTGAAATGAATAGAAAAGAAAAACAATCTTTCTTGCAGTTTTACACTTGAAACAAAAGTGGTTCTGAGAGCAGCTTCTCAGGAACAGTCTTTCATCATGTGTGTTAAAATGGAACAGAACCACTAGATGTCACCTCAGGCTGCACGCTGTGGAGGGCAGCCTTTCTTTTGTGACTCCCTCAACCTTTCCACTGACTATTCAGTGTTTCAGAAAAAAATAAAATAGGAAAGATGACATGATTTATCAGTTAAAATGCTCTTAATCGCTATTCCTAAATAATATGCCGACTGATACACTGTTACAGACCAGGTCAACTCAGTCCATTGTTCCTTGAACCGATGCGCTAACTGAAATCAACTTTGCTCTCTTTTCATCGCGTTTAAGTCAGATTCCTTCTCTCCAGGTGCCCTTCTACAGGGGAGAAAGGATCACTTTCGACGTTGCGCCTTCAAGGATGAATTTCAAGGTGGAGCACAACAGCTTGAAACTGGAGGTAATTAGTGGAACGCCTTCACTTCCTCCCGCAGACGAAGTCACGATGACCCACCTAACGCTGCTCCTGTGGTTTTTCGTGCAGCCCGTCTTCCGCGTGATGGGGTTCTCTGTGACGGGACGCGTTCTGAACGGCGCCGGCGGGGAGGGCGTGCCCGACGCCGCAGTCTCCCTCAACAACCAGATCAAGGGTAAACACGGCAAAAGTATCCCAGGTGTCCCACCGAACGGGCGCTCTGTGTGTGTGGCCGGGTTTTCACAGCTGAATGTGCTCTGGCCTCCCGCAGTGGTCAGTAAGGAGGATGGCTCCTTCCGGTTGGAGAACATGACCGCCGGAACCTACACCATCCGAGTTAGCAAGGAGCTCATGTTCTTCGAGCCGATCACGGTGAAGATCGCCCCAAATACTCCCCAGCTTCCGGACATCATCACCACGGGGTGTGTTTTGCCTCAGCCTGGTTTCACAGCAAACACACACACGCACACACACACACACACACACACACACACACAAGCCTCAACGATCCCTTGTCCGTTTGTCCCCAAACGCAGCTTCAGCGTCTGCGGTCAGATCTCCGTCAGCCGTCTGCCCGAAGGAATGAAGCAGCAGGGCCGCTACAAAGTCACCCTGACGCAGCAGGGCCAGGACAAGGCGTCCACTCGCACCGTGGACTCGGACCCGCAGGGCGCCTTCTGCTTTCAGGCCAAACCCGGAGACTACAGCGTCCACGTAAGGCCCCAGGGGACAAACACATTTTTTCTCTTTCATTTACAAGTACAAGTACAGATTCAGATTGTGTCTCGGTGTTGGGTGTAACTGGTTTGACCCCCCCCGGGTCAGGTCTCTCTCCCTGAAGCCGAGGTGAAGGCCGGCCTGGCTCTGCAGCCTCAGGCCCTCCAGGTCTCCCTGGTGGACCAGCCTCTCACAGACCTGCTGTTCACCCAGTTCATGGCCTCCGTCTCCGGAAAAGTCTACTGTCTCGGTAAGAGCTCCGCCCTCGAACCGCGTCATCTTCAACAGTGGTTTTATTTCCCCCGAAAGGCAGCCTCTTGTTTTTTTTGCCTGAGCCCGCCTTGTCCCCCGTTTGACTTCCAGCCTCCTGCGACGATCTCTCCGTGACCCTGCAGCCGGTCAGTCGGCAGGGCGAGAGGCGCACGGTGGCCCTGACCGGCACCAGCGACACGCTCGGCTTCTCTTTTGACAACGTTTTGCCGGGAAAATACAAAGGTACCTGACATTTCCACATCCATTTGTTTCTTTTGTTGCGTCGGGTCATTTTCATGACTTCATTTTGGTGCAGCGTAGTCAGCCGGGCATCGTCCTCAGTCTAAATCCTTCTTCCCGTGTGCACTTCTGTTGAGACGCCTCTAATTATTCTCTAATGATTGTCGCCCAATCCATTTTTAATTACCACCTTTCGATCATAACTTGTACAGAGGGCCAGCTCTCTGGTGGCTCGCCATTATTCGCTGCCTTCTGGGGCCCCGTCTATCTGTGTCCTTGTTCGGTACACACAAGCTGACATTTTTTTTCCTGCAAGCTGTTTGCACGTTGTGCATCTATTAGACAGTTCTCAGGTTAGAGTTTCAGAGCTCAGATTGGAATGAAATCTTCATACAGTAAAAGAATCATCCTTCCTCTCCCCTGTTTTCCACCACCAGTGGCTATTTCTCATGAGGAGTGGTGTTGGAAGCACAAGTCGGTGGAAGTGGACGTTCTGGACTCCGATGTCTTGGGGGTTGAGTTCAGACAGATCGGCTACATCCTGCGCTGCTCCCTCTCCCATGCCATCACTCTGGTTCGTAATCACTTTATACGCAAGCGCTCATTTGTTCAATTAGCGGTGTGTTATTATGCGTGTCAAATTTGTCTCCAGGAATTCTTCCAAGATGGCAGCAAACCCGAGAACGTGGGCGTATACAACCTCTCTAAGGGAGTCAATCGCTTCTGCCTCTCCAAACCTGGTGCGTTTCCTTCTGATGACCTCTCATTAGCTAAACATAGTAACAATTAGCATACTGAACAAATATCAGAGTGTAGCCACTGTTCCCTTGTGTATTTTCAGAGTGCAGTGGTTTCAGCCTAAAGGTCCCTGTCAGAGTTAACTGAATATAAAACTGGAACAGAGTAATTAATCAACGAAAACGGGCTTCTTTTTTTTTTTTTTGCAGGTGTTTACAAAGTCACCCCTCGCTCCTGCCATCAGTTCGAGCAAGATTTCTACACCTACGATACGTAAGCATCGCCGGCTGCATTTCTATCAGTTAATAAAGCAATGGAATAAATGAGTCCAGCGCCTAATGCTTTTCTGTGTGCTAACAGTTCGGCCCCCAGCATCCTGACGCTCACGGCGGTGCGCCATCACATGACGGGACTCATCACCACGGACAAGCTCCTGGACGTCACCGTCACCATCAAGTAACGCAGCTCCTCAGCCCGCCCGCCATGGCCGCCACGCCCGCCACGGGTCATTTAAGAGGCGTTCGTGTCCCCCGGACAGGTCGTCCATCGAGAGCGAGCCGGCGCTGGTGCTGGGGCCCCTGCGCAGCCTGCAGGAGCAGCGCCAGGAGCAGCAGCTGCAGGAGATCCAGCTGCGGCGCCAGGAGCGCGAGCGGAGAGCCGCAGAGGAGGAGGGCGGGGCCCGCGACGACAGCCCCCCCGTCCAGGAGAAGGCCGACGAGCTGACCGGCCCCTTCCACTACGAGTTCTCCTACTGGGCCAGGTCGGTGTGCAGAGGAAGGGAAGTTCTCGGCTGGACAGCCGGACATGCATAGATAAGATTATGCACAACACGTTGGTCTGCGAACATTTGATCACAGAGACCTCCGCGTTTTTCAAATGAAAGAAACACTGTTTATCATTTCCCTCTAAAGAGTTGAAGCGGGAACTGTCACTCAGACTTGAAGGCAAAAATCTTCAGAACGTCTCAGTATGTTGCACTGTGCAGAGCTTCTGAGGACTTTTTAATGAAAGGAGCAAAAAACTGTTTTCAGAAGTGTTCAGTGAAACATGACGTTGAATTTAGAGGTTTTTTGAAAAGAAAAAAAAAGACACCACCTGAATTCTTATTCCCTTTCATAATGTCCACCAGATTGTAGAGGCTTTTGGAATGTGTGCTAATGTTCTCTCGCAGTGAGCTGATATTTACAATGTGATCGGACAGGGCTGGAGAGAAGATTACGGTGACTCCCTCCTCTAAGGAACTGTTGTTCTACCCCCCTGAAGTAGAGGCAACAATCACAGGAGGTAAGAGCCTCACCACACCCTGCAGCTCTGCTTTTATGTTCAGTTGTAATCACAAGTGTCGAGACAGACGTGTCCCTATTCATTTGCAATGGGCCGGTGTCTCAGAACTTCCGAGTTCTTCTAAACGTGTGCTCTTTTTTTTTTTCCCAGAGTCCTGTCCAGGTCGGCTGGTGGACATTATCGGGCGTGCAGGACTCTTCCTGGAGGGTAAAGTGTCGCCAGAATTACAGGGCGTGGAAATATCCATCAGCGAGAGAGGAGCTGCCACGCCGCTCATTACCGTGGCAACCAATGAGCTGGGAGCCTACAGGTATGAGACTGTTGGAGAAGTTTGCCTGCGTGTGCGTGTCTAATCATCCTCATCATCAACGCGTTCCAAACCTTTTTTTTATTATTAACAAGCTACCAGCAGAACATTACACCGAACAGGCAGTTCAGTGAATAGAAGAGTGGAAAACGAATGAAAGGCACTCATGTTGTTTCACATGGTCTGGGACTGCTGTCGCCATGTGCAGTCAGGTGACTTTCACATGGTGTCCCAGAACGAATTCCCTCCACATTTTATGCTTTAAGCGTGACTAAAGTTTGCTCAGGGGCTCCTGGAACGAGGCAAGAGCCCTTTGACACAGCTCGATGGTCACATGAAAGGAAGAGTAAAAAGGCCAGAAGTATATTTTTAGGGGTGAATGTAACTTAGAAGATGCTCCAACCCAACAACAGGTGTCAGTGGGACTGAAGAAGGGAGGAGAAGAATCTCAAACCATCCGTTAGACAAGTGGAGCTCGGACATTCTCACAGACCAGCGACTGAAAACACACCAGAACTTGTTTCGAATGGATTAAGCATCCTAATAGTTTTTTTTTTTTTTTTTTTTTTTGGACAAAGATTGCGTTGGGAATTAATAATGGCCCAGTTCCATTAAATGTCTCCAGAGGGCCGTGAGAGTGAAGTGCTGTAGCATGCACAGAGGCAGCGCCGGCATTAAATGGAGGCACATTCTTTTGCCCAAGCATTCGTTTTAATCCAGTAAAGAGGATTCATTACCTTTTTTTACACTACACATTGCACGTATTTATTTAAGATAACGGATGAGGCGAAAACCTACATTTACGGGAGAGAGACGCTTGAATGCCGGCGTCGGATCGATTCAGATCTGAAGACAATACGCGTCAATCCTGAACCCCCAGGACGGCCCTGGATCAGCGGTTAACAGATGTAGAGTGATCATGAATGACAACACGGGCTCCGTCCGGCTTAGCTCTTGTTATACAAACATTTACAGTACCTGCCCGTGTGGAAGATAATCTTCTGAGATTTAATCACCGTGGCTTTAAATGTTTCATGGGGGATAAATTTGGACCTCTGCGACTTTGCAATGGCAATTACCTCTGGAGGTTAAATCACTAAAGCTCGCTCAACATCTGCGTGTCTGTTCCTCCGGGCAGGAGGTGTGAAGTAGAGAGCGGCTCTGTTCTAACCGCCTTTCCTCGTTTCTCCCCCCCCCCTCAGCGTGGGCCCGCTCCACAGCGACCGGCAGTACGACATCGCTGCCTATAAGGAGGGGTTCGTCCTGAGTCCGGTGGAGGGAACCCGGGGGGATTTCAAAGCCTTCGCTCTGGCCGGCGTCACCTTTAAGGTACAGGCGGCCATTGTTCTAACACGCCTCCACACAGCACATCCTGGTAATCAGGACTCTTTAGTACACTTCCTTGAAGTCAACCCAGAAAGGACACCATGAAAGCTCTTCCTCTGAGTGTTTTTATAATACAGTGGGGGAAATAAGTATTTGACCCCTTGCTGATTTTGCATGTTTGCCCACTTACAAAGAATGCTTATTTTTCCTCATCAGATGGTTATCAATTTTTATAGATTCATATGATGTGATTTTCTGGAATTTTCTTTGGGATTCTGTCTTTCACTGTTAGAATGTACATATGATTAAAGTTATAGATCGTTGCATTCTTTGTAAGTGGGCAAACCTGCAAAATCAGCAAGGGGTCAAATACTTATTTCCCCCACTGTATGTAAACTAAAAGGGGGGTTCAGTCTGTTTCACAGTGACTGGGGCATCATGTAGATGGAGATTTGTTCCACCCTTTACATCCGGACCCTCTGAAATCGATCATCCGGCCCAGATAACCCCAAATGTATTCTGTGTTCCCCAGATTAAATCGGAGGAGGGCCTGCCCCTCTCGGGCGTCCTGCTGTCTCTGAGTGGGGGACACTTCCGCTCCAACCTTTTGACTCAGGACACCGGCATCCTCACCTTCAATAACCTGGTAAGAAAACCCACCCCTTCATCCATCCCCCTCCTCCCTCTAAGATCTGCTCTCCGAGTGTTAAAACCACCACGGTCCCCTGTCATCAGTCTCCCGGTCAGTACTACTTCAAGCCCATGATGAAGGAGTTCCGCTTTGAGCCGGCCTCTCAGATGATCACGGTGGAGGAGGGTCAGAACCTCAGCATCGATATAACCGGCGTTAAGACGGCGTACAGGTGAGAGAGGATGTCGGCTTTATCTACCCGACTCGTCTCTGACTTTCCTGCTGGTTTACGGGAATCCCAGGCTAAATTTGAGCGTTACACACACACACGTTTTTGTCCTCAGCTGCTACGGGGCGGTGCTGTCGCTGAGCGGGGACGCGGAGCGGGACGTGGCGGTGGAGGCGGTGGGGCAGGGGGAATGCAGCCTCTACAGCGAGGACACCGTCACCGACGAGGAGGGCCGATTCAGACTCAGGGGTCTGCTGGTGAGCTACAACCCTAAACCAATCGCATGGAAAAACTGTGTTTTGTTTCACCGAACCCTGTGTTTGATCAAAACTGTCTTTTTTTTTTTTTTCTTCCAGCCGGGCTGCAAATATTTGATTCAACTGCGAGCCGAAGGCAACGACCACATCGAGAGGGCCCTGCCCCAGCACAGAGCCGTGGAGGTAACAGCACGTCCTCCAGAACCCACACCAGAACCCAATTCACTTCTTTCTGATTCACTTAGAATGACAATAAAGTCTCCATCTTCAGACATCACATTTAGCAAGTTAAAAAAGGCCTTTTGTAAGCTTTCCCCTCTATTTTTCTTCTTATTTCTGAAGAGCACGTGCTGAAATGTGCCAGATTTTGGCTGGCTCTTTGGGGGTGCCTCTTTTGGTGCAAATATACCACGGTGTCAGGTTTGGTGTTAAAATCGAGGCAACTGTGGATGAGATTTGTGTCCCAGGCAGCTGGCACCCGCCTTCCTGTCCTCATCTTTATCCACACAGATCACAGATGGGACGAGTTGATGAATTATCACTTCTAAAGTTGCACCAACCATGAGCTGTTGGATGAGTTGGCCTCTTAATTCACACCGTGTTTTAAAGGAGGCTTTGTTTCCTTTGCTGAAAATCGGAGTTGATTTAACACAAAGCCAAAATCAAATTTTAATCAAAGTATAGCCTGCTAAGAGAAACAATGCAAAATACAAATATCCAGTGGACAGATATGGAAGAAACAAAGTGAGCAACGTGTGAAAATGTCTGACGCCTTAAAAAGGACCTTTGTCATCGCAATCATGGTTTTTGGGAACGCTATTATTCCATGCCTCCTCATTTATTAACCCGGTGCTGGGGACGCAGGAAAAGCCTTGTTAAAGTTCACACTGAATGGTAGAAATAACTGTGAGAACCCTGTGATTGTGACTTGCATCAGCTGCCTCATCACATGGGTCCGTGCTGCCCGCCGAACAAAAGCAACAATAATCCCCACCGGCAAAGTTTAAACCTCTCACTTCGCAATTTGAGCTCGTCTGAAAAGTGCAGTCCTCCTAATCTCTCTGGTGAGGCAGGAAACGCCTTAATTCCCCCTTAATTCTCTGTCATTATCACAGCATGTGACTCTGACAAAAGCTTTTTGCCTAAATTCACATTTGCTATTTCATTCACCGGGTCAGAGGGGTATTATTAGATTAAGCTGGGCTTTATTCGGTGGTTTATTTAGTTTTTCCTTTTCCCCCTCAGGTGGGCAGCAGTGACATCGAAGGGGTCAACATCATCGCCTTCAGGCAGATCAACCAGTTCGACCTCAGCGGGAACATCGTCACGTCCCCTGAACACCTCCCCACGTTATCGGTACAGCTCCTTATCCCCGCAGTTTAATCCCATTTCCTGAGCCTTTGGGCATAAATCGGTCAAACGGAATGGTAAAAACAATAGTTTATCCCACTCCTTTTTTATTTATTTTTTTAGGTGAAACTGTACAAGAGCGACAATCTGGACAACCCCATCAACAGCGTCTCTCTGGGACAGTCCCTTTTCTTCCACTTCCCCCCTCTGGACAGGGATGGCGAGGTAACTTTTTTTATTTACTCTTTTATTTTCTGTGAGGTTCAGAGTGCGTGCTGACTTTCTTTTTGTTTTTCAGAGCTACGTGCTGATGCTCTACTCCACGCTGTCGCGCTCCCAGTACGACTACACCCTGCCCCAGGTCTCCTTCACCTCCAGCGGCTTCCACAAGCACGTCACCCTCACCTTCAACCCCTCGGTAAGACGCAACACAAAGGAGGGGGGGGAGTTTCTTGCCCTTAACTCATTGACTGCCAGCCATTTTCAGAACAGAGAGTCCCATACTGCCAGAGTTTTTTGAGCATTTTGACTGATTTTTCAAGAGCCACAGAGTAGTTTGTGCTATGAATATGTAAACACCGAACACACCAAAAGAAAGAGTAGACTCTTTTCTTTTATCAGGAAAAAAAAATTGTTTCTACCTTATTCCGTTCTTCCTCGACTTGCATCTCACCGGCGATATGTTCTCTTATAGCGAACCGTTACCTTTTTCTTATTTGCCTACAGACTATGCTCATCTCCCATCAAAAGTGGCACTGCCACCTAGAGGGTCAATTTGTTACTACATACTCTGTCTAGAAGCCTGATATTTACGGACAAGCTTTAGCAGAACGTCCCCCAGCCACTCTCGTTGAAAAACATACTGTAAAAGACGTCTATAGACGTCTTTGGCAGTCAATGAGTTAAAAAACGCGAACGGCCCTGGCTCACTTCCTGTGTGTCGTACAGCGTAAAGTGCCTGACCAGGATGTCGCCCAAGGCTCCTACATCGCCCTGCCCCTCACCTTACTCCTCCTCCTGGCAGCGTACAACCACGAGAAGGTAAACGTCCAGAGCAAACCGATCCAAACCCGATGTGTCCAGCGGGACGCTGACGCAGACGGCTGACCCGTTCCTGTTTTGCAGGTGATCCCGCTCCTGCTGCAGCTGGCCAACCGCCTCCAGGGCGTGCGGAGCATGGCCCAGGCCAGCCCCGACGGCGCCGCCCTGGACGAGGCCAAGCGCCAGGCCAAGAGACAGAAAGCCCGGCGCACATAGGGCGCCGTCCACTCCACATCTCCGCGCGCTAAACCCCAGCGCTAGCACGCGCCAGCCGAGCCTCCGGGAGCCCTGGGTCCAGCAGAGTTTACGTCAGTTTAGCTCGTCGAGGTGTGGTTGGAAACCGGTTTCAGGAGACCACTTAACAGACCTCATGGGCAGTTCTGTTTCACTGGACTGATCGTTTCATTTTACATGTCTATCCTGTTGTGTCGTGTGTTTTTTTTTGTTTTGTTTTTTCCCCGACAACCATCACTGTCTTTTAATACATGGAAATACTTTTTTATACATTTGTACTTCATGTAGGTCAACTTTTCGTTTTTTTTCCCATGCACTTAAATGCCTCGTATGTCGGTCTTAACAAGTGGAGTGTAACCTATCAAACCAAATCCCAAAATTAATATTGGTTTAAGTATTTCCTAAAACGTCTAACAAAGAACAGCGATAACGTTAGAACACAATATGCGCTTCGATGGGAAGCGCCTCGTTTGGCAGACCACCAGAAACATCCAAAACAGAGCAGGCAGCTGCTGTCTGACCGGCTGAGATAACTGTGAAAACACTCCACTTGTGCTGGTCTTATAATCTGTAGGAGTGATGTGAGGTTTGACTGGATTTCAGATGTTTCATTAGCTCAGGATTGCCATGATGAATAGAATGCTGGAAGTTTGAGCTTTAGCACCGCGTGAGGAGATTTTTTTTTTCCTAAAGGATAGGCTGGGGGTAGGGAGGGGGGGGGGGGGTACAGGGTTGAGTAGCAGTTGATTAATTTATTAATGGTGTTTAATCAGGTGTGAATGATTACCTAATGTCTACACTCGGACGCCTGTTCAGAAGTGTGTTTGGCGATTTTGAATTTACCCGTCTGATAAAGTGTGTCAAGCTATTTGAAATGAGAAATTTAAGACTGATTCAAGAAAGTGGACACGAGACTCAAAGGCTGTGTCTAAACTTGAGCTCGCGGAGGGAAGACCAGGTGATTCCCAGGCCTGTCGCAGAGCTGTGAAGGCTGCGGAAGGCTGGGTTTTCTCACAACCTCTGGATAGACACGTTTTCCTCTGAAGCCACGTTTAGACACGCGGGCAGTTTGGCAGGGGGTGTGAGAGGGAGGGTGGGGGAATTCTGCCATTGTCACTGTGTCAGGATGTGTCTTTGTTTTTTTGACTAAATAAAGTTTAAAAGGAACTAAAAGTGTCCACTTTTTCTGCCTGCGGGGGGCAGTGGAACGCCAGACAGGAGTATGAACGCTGAACCGAACCACGGAACAGTTGCTCCTTGGAGATTATTCTACAAGACGAGTTCTGGGCGACAAAAATTGGAACGCTCTCAGAAGATCAATGCGCGTGACTCATTAACTCCAATATAAACATTTCCGAGCAAAGCAGTTTAGGCAAATGTTTTTGCCTAAACAGATTACAAAATTGTAATCCGTTTAGTTTACAGCTCCACCATCTCTCCATTCTCCAGACTTTTAGCTCATCCTTCCTTCATCATACCCTTCTAGGTAACTATGTAATTTAGCAAAAATAAATCTAAACTACACAGGAAAGCAGAAATCTTCCAAACTTAGATGCTGAGCGAGGACTTCTGGACAGAGGTTCTTTTTTTGATGACTCCCCAGACTGTGGTTGACATTGTGAAGCACAGCCAGCGAGCATTAACGGAACACAAGAGCAAAAAGAGCTGAATGTGTGGCTGAATGTCAGAAGAGAATGAAACAGGAAATTCTGCCCCATCACGAGCTTCCCATCTTCACGCTGGGACTCTGTGCTAAGTGAATAGATTTGGCAGCCTTGCAATTTCGTCTCGGCTATTCGGGGACCTGTTAGAAACGGAGGTTAAGTTTGTTTTTCTCCACGCAGAATGAAGATACTCCGGAGTGGAACAACATCTCAGCTGCGTTTACGTTGCTGCAAAAGGCTGCAGAATTCATGCTTAATTTAACGTTTTTATCTGCTTATTTCTGAGGAAAACCAACCTCGCTTTAAGGATGTAGACGCACGGCATGTCTGTCAAATCCTAAACATTTCAATTCAGACTGAAACACCTTTAGGGATTTGTTTGGATGAGATGGGTAGAGTCTTAGGTTGTGTTGATTGGTTAAAATTTGTTTTCACTGCACGATGGAGATGGACTGTAAATCAGATGTTTGTGTATTTTCTGTTCAGATCTAAAATTGGGAACTCTTCAATTCAGTGGGATGAGGACATGAAGATGAGAAAAGGTCAGTGTATCTGACCTGACCTGAGATCTGTCAGGAGGGCATCTGTGTGTGGTTTTACTTGCTCGGTGGTTGTTTAACTCTGTCCACTTTGGCTGAGTGGTTCAGAACACATTCATCTGTCAGGTGACTCACTCAGAGCATAGTTTTTTTTTATGACCAATGTGTAAGAACAATAATTGATCCTATTTTAAAGGACTTTTGTTGTCCCTCTTTTCGTGAACCAATCATTTTACTGAATTAACTATTTATTTAACCTTAATTAAAAGTCCTTATTTGAAATGAGATATTTCATTATGTATTAAATTTAGTTGAAAAAATCTAAACTTAAAAAAAAAAGTTAACTATGGAAAATAATGCAGTTTTGAGTCCTTTCCATAGATGTCCCTGTTCATTTTCAATTTATCAGGGGGACATCATTTAAAGCTCGCTCTGTGCCAGAAGCAGATGATTATGTACAGAAAGTTGTGATGAAGTGGGGGGGGCTGTGTACCCAGAACAAACTTTTGATCACCCAAATATCGCTTTCCAAATGATAACATCATCATTTCAAAGTTCTGACCCACACAATACGATGTACTGCTGTTTGGATGTACTGCTTTTTTTTCCCAAAAACAACCCCCCCCCCCCCCTTCCCCCTTGTCTCTTCCAGTCAGCTTGAGTTTTGAACAACAAACTTAGGTTGCCCCTCATTATTTTGTGTTCCTGTCAGAATTGTCTGCCCCTGCTGTTTTTTCCACAAAGACGCGTTTGACACGGTGTTTATGTGAGGCCCGTCCGGGGGGGGGCCGTCTCCCTGTTCCCCGCCAGTTCTGCTGAGGAAGGCTACCGGTGTGGTGTCGCTCCGCCTGTCTGACAGCCGCTGAGACATTCTGGACTCCGCGAGATTGAGACGCGGCCAATTAGCGGGAGCCGTGCAGCTCTGGGGGAACCAAAGCTGCAACGGCCACGCGTCCACGTCCGAAACTGGATCGGATTGGCCTTGTCACTCAATTCAATTCAATTCCAATTCAATTTTATTTATATAGCGCCACATCACAACAACAGTTGTCTCACAGCGCTTTACAAACAGAGCAGGTCAGACCCTACTCTGAAGTTAACTACGGAAACCCAACAATTCCCACCATGAGCAAGCACTAGGCGACACAGGTAAGGAAAAACTTCCTTTTAACAGGCAGAAACCTCGAGCAGAACCATGGCTTTTACGGCTATGTTGTTTCCCAGGATGTCTCGGGATCCTTTTTTTTCTCGTCGCCCAACTTGTAAATGTGAAAATGAAAGTTTGTTCTCCCGGTCCCGGGTGAACTCAGGCCCTACGTCCACTGCATTTGCACGGACGCGCCACCTGGCATGACCCCCTCTCGCTGATGGCGCCTCGGCACGCCGGCGGCCCGCCGCCCGGCCTGATTCACACTTAGCACTCATAATGCATGGGCTGGGAAACGAGTCGTCGCAGAGCGGGGGAGAGGAGAGCGGAGGCAGCCATGCGCCGTCTGCGTCGCATTAACGCCAGGCATCCGACGGCGAGCCAGGGGAGGGGAGCGCAGATTAAATATTCAAAGCGGATGATGACAAGATGCGCAGCGGTGAGGTTGACGTATAATAGTAGCTACTGGATGCTTTTTGTGGAAGCTGACGCCTGTGTGTGTGTGTGTGTGTGTGTGTGTGTGTGTGTGTGGACGCAACCCAGACTGACTCTTCAGTGCCAGTTTCCATCAGCACAGGAGGTGTGTCATGTTACCCTGTTGTGAAACCTGATGCTTACTTACCGCTTGCCAGATGTGATGACAGCCGTCTCGTTCCTAATGTAATCAGAGAGAGTAAGAGCTCCCACCAGGCATCAAAAGTGTCGTATGATTCATATATATATCACACGCTAAATTATTCATGCCTTCCCTACCCTATGGTGCCCTTCCCGCCTTTAGGCGGCTAACTAGCAACACCTTTTCTAATAGCGGGAATAAAATATGAATTACAAAATGACACTTCAAGCCCGACTCAACGAAGGCTGGGATGCTGCTGTAAAATAAAACAGAATTGAGTTACCGGGGAGCTCATATTTTATTCGCGTAGAGCACAGAGGACATCCCCTCTTCTTTTAACTGTGGCCTGTAAACATCTGGAACATCTGAGGAGACCAGTTGCTGAATCTTTGGGAGTCTCGTTTCACAGTGAACCGCATCCAAACAAAGGCTGGTCACACACGTGTGCATATTCTCTGAACACGCACCTAAAAATGGCCGCTACCATTAAGTCGGCACGTTATCCCTTCCTCTTCCCGTCACCCAGCAAAATCAGTCCGTAAACGATCAGATGGTAGTTCAAACCCAGCCACCATTCGGCACAGACTCTGCACACCTGCTGCCTCATTGCCTCAAAGTGGGTTTTTTTCGGTGGCGGTAGCTGGAAGAAAAAAAAAAAGACATTATGACAATGAAAAGGTTGACAGGCAATGGCAAAAGACTTATGCGCATTCTCTCCCCTTTATTAGTCCATTTCTTTCCCCCTAATGTCTACTCCTGGTTCCATACTGGCGAGGGGTCTGGTCTTTGGAGCTTCACAGAAGGGTGGAGGAGGGAGACAGATGGAGCCCAGAGAATATTTGAAGGATGTCTGCGAAAAGCAGAAAAAAGTTGATTGCGGGTTGTAGACGTCCTTGAGGAAAGTAATGCGGAAGGACAGAAAAGAGGAGACACCCCGGAGGAAGCGGCAAACAAACAGCATCCATATTAAGATTTTTGTTTAGCGCATCGGCAGGATGAGCTGTGAATGTTAAACACGTTGCCTCAGCTCGCAGCACTTCAAATATCGATTACCGCCTAACTAGGAATTAAAATTGTCCTTACAGGACACGAGCGGGAACGAGTCCATTTAATACCGTCGATGGGCAAACTGTTAAGGTTTATACGAAAACTAGATTGGTCCGTAAGAAGAAGGTACACACTCTAATCTGCTGTTGTGCATATCCTCTCAAAAGCCAGTGAAAACTTTCTGATTAAGTTGTCGCTAATTCTAGTTCCGCACACGTCTACGACTCGTATTAAAAGGGCAAGATTAGTGTCTTGACTCGAGGTCAGTGACTCAGGCACCTCA